TACTAACCGTTAACACAGCCAAGCCATTCTACTGGTGACAAGATTACTTACCCACTGGGTTTATTGATAGCACAGGTCAAACCAATTAAAACTTATAATTGCTGGTGATTCATGGAAAGAACGTGCTTCTAAATATCCATTAGTTAGCAATTGGCAAATGCAACATCAAACATTCTCACTTCTATTATATGGAGGACAGGAAGCTAAACAAACCCATTTTTAAAGCAGGCTTTACAGCAACCAAATGTTAACGTCAATACCTGCTCAATAAGGGTACCTGCAATTCCTTCTGTTCCCAGGACGCATAATACAACAACAAGTTTACATTTGTATAGCCCCTTTCACGTCGCGAGGACGTCCCAAGGCGCTGGACAGAGTACAGCATTTCAGACCCGAGCTGGGGTTGGGGGGGGAAGTGAGGGGAGGGGAAGGAGGGTGGCCGGTGGCATGGTCGAAGAGGAGCGTCTTGAGGCGGGACTTGAAGGAGGCTAAGGAGGGGCGTGGAGGAGTGACTGGGGGATAGAATTCCAGAGGTTGGGGGCAGAGTGGCTGAAGGCTCTCTCACCAATGGTGGGGTGGGTGGGTGGGTCAGAGGACGTGGAGCAGGTCAGAGCCGACTGAGCGGAGGGAACGGGTGGATTGGTAGGGGTTTAAGAGGTCACAGAGATAGGGTGGGGCGAGGCCATGGAGGGCTTTGTAGGTGAGGACCAGGATCTTGAACTGGATCCTCTGAAGGATAGGGAGCCAATGGAGTCGGGCGAGAGTGGGGGAGATGGGGTCACAGAGTTTGGTGCGGGAGAGGACTGCAGAGTTCTGGTTTATCTGCAGTTGTGGAGGGAGGAGTTGGGAAGGCCGACAAGCAGGGCATTTGCATAGTCGAGCCTCGAGGTGATGATGGCATGAACAAGAGTTTCAGTGGCCTGAGGGGTGAAGTAGTGGCGGAGTCGGTTTGAGATTGCGGACAGTCGTGGTGAGGGAAGAGGGAGAGTATCAACCTATGGAAATGATTAACTAGAATTGGATTGAGTTTCCATATAAAGTATTTGCTGTTTTTTTTTGGGGGGGAAGGAGAGAGAGGCAAGAAAGACTGTCTTAAATGAAATCTTGAAGTAGATAAACGATAATGACAACAATATAGGCCCTTCACATTGGGGAACATCTTGCACAAACCGGGGTTAATTGGGTCCCAGTTCCCAGGATGGGCAGCAGTTAATACTAATAATAATCCTTGCAATTGAAATAGCACCTTATCACGTCTTCGAGAAGTCTTCAAAACGCTTCACTGAATATACCGTAAAGTGAATGGACTGTATGTTTTGCGGGCAAAACGCGGCAGCCAATTGCCCACAGCATTGTCCCCCAAACAGTTGTGGATTGAATGACCAAATTATTATTATTTTATTTATTTATTTATTTATTTTTGAAGGGACTATTACCCCCGGAAAAGCCACTGTTATGATCCACCAATCGACCAGAACAGGGTTCCTACATACTGCCAGGTAAAGAGAGGGGTGTGCGGTAAGGAAACACACCCAACCTTTCGCCCTGACACGCCCAGGAATCGAACCCAGGTCCTCTTGCTTGCGAGGCGAGTGCTCTAACCACTGAGTTACTCTAAGTTTAAAAAATATAGATTCCTATATTGCTGGGAAAATTACGCAGCTCTATAAAAGGGAGGGGAGGGGGAAAAATGTTTCTTATATAAAAAGAAACTAACAAAAAAATCCTACTTGGAATTTTCCCAACTAAACAAAGGTTCGACAGCAGCCAAAGGCTACCATCAACCAGCCATCAGGTGAAAGGGAACATACATTCATCTGCTGTGCCATCTGCTGGTTAGTCCACCTATTACACAAAATGTTTTTTTTTGTTCAACCAGTGCTTAAGAGTATCAGAACCAAACCGAGAATTCCATGGAAATTCCCGCAAAGTGGAGTGCATCAAAACCGCAGGTTGTGATTCCGAGCTACCAGGCTGTTCATCGGAGAATCCGAGAGGAGAGATGCGATATAATACATCATAATAATAACAATGTTCCTGGCATTTGATATAAAGCCTTATCACGTCAGACGGACGTCTCAAAGTACTTCACAGGATTCACTGTGAAATGGAGTGACTGAGTATTTGTAGGCAAACATGGCAGCAAAATCAGTGCAATTTGTTGTTGCTGTGTAAAGGAAAGAGTTTAATTCCCAGTACTTCTCTCTTACACCCAGATAATAATGATAATGTGTGTTCTGTGAAGCGCTTTGGGACGTCCTCCCGACATGAAAAGCGCTATATCAAATGCAAGGATTATTATTATTATTATAATCCCTGCTTTTGATATAGCATCTGGTCACGATGTTAAGACGCCTCAAAGTTGTTAAATGCAGAGCTTAGTTTTGAAAGAGTATTTAAAAGTTCCTTTCAGAAATGTCAGGCTGTTCGTTAAATAAGATCCTGTAAAACGTGATGCGAGTTTTTAATGTGTCGAAGCTTTTACAAAGCGCTAAAAGAAATATTACTCAGTTAAAATGAAGGATATATTTTATTTAAAATATGTTTTAGCAGGTTAATGGAAATTCATAATGGGAATCATAAAGCTCTATTATTTTTTTCCCTGAAAGCATGCTGTCTAATGCTGTAAGATGAGGCTAATTGATTTCCTCCGCTTCTGAATTTATTAGAGAACAGATGAAGGTGACCCGTACAGTCTTATAAGACATTGAGACGGTTATGTAAAATGTAGGGCGCATTCATCAATTTGGGACCTGCTATCTGCTACAGGAGGAGTCTAATTGCTCTGGAAAGTGCTGTATAAAAGCTTGGGAAGGTTAAATGCTTTCCTTTTAAAGCAGCCGTAATGATGTGACTGCATTGTAAGAAGATGACTGATGTGCGGAAAGAATAACGTCTTGGCTTTGTGTCGGACAAAAGCTTGCGACGGAGGACACACGCGAGCACAAAAAAAATGGGTTTTTGTACTCGCGGATTTGAAAGGGATTCAATTTCCTTCAGACAGTGTTTGACAATTAGCTCAGATAGGCTTTACAATTAGCAACAGGCTTTGTGAAAAACTCCTGGACCGTCACATGCATTTAATTGCATATTGGAGGCGAGTGCTCTGATCTGATCCCGGGTGGCTCAGGAGGTTGGGTACCAAGAGGCGTGTTCGACAGGCGCTGGGTTCAAATCTCACTCAGCCTTGAGCTCAACCCTGATTTAAAAATCGACACCCAGAAACGTGGACGGTAATAATAATAATAATAATCCTTGCATTTGACACAGCGCCTTATCACGTCTTCGAGACATCTCAAAGCGTTTTGCAGGATGTACTGTGAATGTATTTTATGAGTGAAACGCGGCAGCCAATTGCGTACAGCAGTGTCCCACAAACAGTCAGGTTCACCTCATGTAAACCATATTGGGAAACAGAGCTTTCTTCCTTCTTTTTGCGCTGATTTAACAAGAAGGGAAAAAAGGGGAAGCGATACATTGTTAAATTATGACATGTCTTGTTATTATAATAATGATAATCCTTGCATTTGATATAGTGTATCACGTCGTCAAAACATCTTTACAGTGCTTCCAAGAATTTACTGTGATTTATGGTGACTGTAAATTCGCAGACGAACACCGCAACCAATTCGCACGCAGCAATATCCTACAAACAGCGAATGGCCGATTTTATCTGGGGCATTATTGGGTTAATAAAAACAACCTTCTCTTTTCAAATAGCGCTGCAGGATCTTTAACATCTGCCTGAAGAGGGAGACGGGTCCTCGGTTTAACGTGTCATCTGATGGACAGCACTCCCTGACAATGTAGTGCTCGCCCAGTTTGGAGTGTCAGCCTAGATTATGAGCTCAAAGTCCTGTTATCTTGCCATAAATAGCTGTTTGTATTATTCCACGTGGCAAATAGTTTTGGTAAAGTTGTTCCACGCCTAGGATGGCACAGATCACATTGGTTGTTTTTGCATCACCTTGACTGGATGCCTTAACCTGCATCTTAAATCTCAAGCCCCCATTGCACCGATATAACATGCCCATTTCCCACTTCAATCCCATCAGCAAGACGACCAACTTACCAGAACTGACTACAGTTATGTTCCCCTTCCTTATTCCTCACTAGATGCGAAACTAGATCGGATTGCAGAAGTGGAGCGGGCGATACAGCAGATAAGTCCCATTACCACTTCTTCCTCCCTACTACCACCGGGCTCACAGATCCCGTTTTAACAACAATAATCCTTGCACTTGATATAGCGTCTCACCACAGTTGACGAGACGACTCAAAGCGCTTCACAGGATTTTATTGTAAAGTGGAGTGACTGCGAATTCCATGAGCAAACGCGACAGCCAATTCGCACACAGCGACGTCCCACAAAGAGCGACAAAGTGAATGACCACGTGGAAAATTCTTAAATCCTGTCTTAATTTGGAAACTTTTTTTTAAAAAAAGAAATGCAGAAAACAGGATTCCAAATTATACACGAATTGAAGAGTTTTCCACAATTCTTTCACCTCGTTACATTTTAAGATCAAAAAAAGTTCTTGCAGGTTAAGAGTGGGTGGAATTTGGGAGCTCTTACTCACAGGAGAAGTGGTGGGGGGGAAAGAAATGGAAATCAAATGAGCCAAATGGACCGTGCTTCAGTGATAATCACATGAAGCTTCTGCTAATTCGTTGCTGATTTGGAATAATGAAAATAATATTATTTGATATATTGTAAAGTGAATTTTTGTGGGTAAACATAGAAACAGGAGTAGGCCATTCAGCCCCTCGAGCCTGTTCCGCTATTCTATAAGATCATGGCTGATCAATACTTCAACCCCAATTACCTGCCCTTGCCCCGTATCCCTTGATACCTTGACCTAACAAATAGCTATTCACCTCAGTCTTGAAGATGTGAATGGATTCAGCATCCACAGCCTTTGGGGTGGTGGGGAGGGGGGGGGAGAGAGAGAGAGAGAGAGAGTTCCAGATCTTGAAGGGTATGAAATAAAGACACTCACTGATCACAAGTGCAGCTGACCATCAGGCATAAGATGTTGTAGATAATGTAGGTAAATATTACAGCAGTGATGGTGCCTCTGGGAATTGAGTAACTTGGATTCTTTAAATCACCTGAAAGGGGTAATAAAATAAAACAACACAAAATTTGCAAGCTTAACATATTTTCCCCCTCGCAAAGTAAACCGCTGTGCATGTTTCTTTCATGAAGGAGTCCTGCGGCGTGTGTATTGGTTAGAACACTCGCCTCGCAAGCGAGAGAACCCGGATTTGATTCCCAGGAAGGGCGAAGTTAGGCAAGTTTCCTTACCCCACACGCAGTAAGCAGCAACCCGGTTGTTAGTCGATTGCCAGATCACTTTTCCGGGGGTAATAATAAAAAAGTAAAAAAATAAATTTGGTCACTCAATCCACGACTGTTTATGGGACGCTGCTGTGCGCGATCGGCTGCTACGTTTCGCCTGCAAAACACACAGTCAATTCACTGTACAGTATATACTGTGAAGTGCTTTGAGACATCTCGAATACGTGATAAGGCGCTGTATCAAATGCAAGGATTATTATTATGAAGTCTAGTGCTCATGGCCGTCTCCTAACCCTCGCTCAGTTTCGTACGAAAAGCCAACAGAGAAAATTTTGCTCTGGATTTAGCACCGCAATAAACATTCACCGAGCCCTCTAAATTATCACCCAACAAATCTCACTAATACTCTTTTATAGGAGTAGCAAAGGCATTAGAATATCCCTTTGCGACCATCGCCGCAAATTAACAGTGTGGATGGTGAGACAGTATAAAAGTATCTAAAGACAGAAATGTCTTAATAATAATAATCCTTACATCTGATACAGCGCCTTATCACATCGGTGAGTACATCTGAAATCATTTCACAGAATATATTGTAAAGTGGATTGACTCTGTATTTCGTAGGTGAAACGCGACAGCTAATTGCGCACAGCAATGTCCCACAACCAGTCATGAACTGAATGACCAAATTTTTGCGGGGTTTGGGAGGGATTATCATCCCCGGAAAGCGATTCACTAATCGACTAACAACTGTGTTCCTCCTCACTGCTAGATAAACAAGAGGCGTGTGGAGTAAGGAAACTTGCCTAAAGTTTCGTCCCACCCGGGAAATTTTTGATTCAACGCAGATCAAAGCAACAATACAATTTGACATTTACACGAGCCCCAGTTATAATGCATACGAACAAGAATCACTCACAATCCATGCATTTGATATAGCGCCTCTCACATCAGGACATCTTCTCAAAGCGATTCCCAGGACTTATTACTGTGAAGTGTAGTGACTGTGTATTTTGAGATAATAATAATCCTTGCAATTGATATCAACAATAACAATGCTCATCCGGACCTTGATGTCTGACAGACAAGCTGATATCACACCTTATCGTGGATCGAGACGTCTCAAAAAGCTTTGTGGCAGCGAGGTGAATTTACACTCATATAGGAGAGCATCTCAAAGTGCTTTGCACAGTTGACTAAGCACTTGAGCTCGTTTGTGGGCGGGTGCGTTGGGCGAGAAAGAGAAAGGGCAGGGTGTGTGTAAGGGTGGGGGAGGGCAGGGAGTGTGTGGGGGGGTGGGGTGGGTGTAGGGTTGGAAAGCATCAAAGCAGAACCGTAATCGTCAGTTACTTCAGTCTTGCGAATGCTGCGCTCTGAACCCCGGTTAAACAAACTCACCCGACATATTCGACCCCGCCATGATACCCGTGCAGCCGTTAAACATCACCGCAAACACAGCAGCAAAGCTCATCATGTTACCGGTGGTGTAGTCCGCTGTGTATTTCGCTGCACAGAGAGAGACAGAGAGCGAGAGAGAAAAACAGTGATCAAAACATCCACATAGTGAATAGGGCAGCGGCGGAAAGACAACAACAATTAAAAAAAAGTGAAATGTTCCTTCTGGAATTATATTGTAAATGTTACAGCAGCAGCACCACCAAATGACATTTACACAGCGCCTTTCACATCGGGAGGGCGGGGAAGGTGGGGGTAGGAAGGTGACCGAAGGTGCGTTCAAAGAGGAAGGTCTTGAGATGCGCCTTAAAGGAGTTAAGGGAAGGGACTGCGGGATGGAGTTTCAGAGGGTGGGGGCAAAGAGGCTGAAGGTCTGACCACTGATGGTGTCAATGAGAGTTTGGGCTGCATTGGTGGTGAGGTAGAAACCGAGATGGCAGATGTCATGGAGGTGGAGGAAAGCGGAATTGGCCGGGTGGGAGGGGGGGATGGGGAGGCACACTTACGATTCAGATTTTCCTTCAGGGTGGACAGCTTAAATCCAGTGAAGTAGCCGTGTATTGTGCCGTTTTGCCCTGGGATGGTCATGTTGATGGGTTTCGGTGACACGGCAAAGAAACTGATGAATATGGTGCTGAGCACCACCATGACGATGAGGAAGATGACAAACGTGGCCTTGGCGTAGATACTGGCTCCGACCAGGCAGACCAGCAGGCAGATGAGGAGAACCCCGCTGCCATAAAGAAGCTCGTACCAGTAGCCCTGAGGAAGTACGTTCTCTGAGCTGCCTTGGATTTCGTCTGTAAGGAGATGGATGGCAGCCATTTCAGCCTCAGGTTAGGAGCCATTATAAGGGGAGGAAAAAATTTAACATTCAATACTTAATTATGAATAGATCAATAGATCATAATCTTAATTATGAACAGATTATGAACAGAGAGACGATTACTGGATTACCTGGCTCCCATTGTGTATAATAATAATAGTAGTAATAATCTTTGAGACGTCTCAAAGCCCTTCACAGATGTACCGAAAGTGAATTGACTGTATATGTTGTGGGCCGCAGCCAATTGCGCAGCGTTCCACACAGTCGTGGATTGAAGTGACTATTTTATAAGCGAACAGTGGCCATCACGCCAAATACCTATTAGTTCAATTGCTATCTTAAAAAACTTGTTTCATCGCAAATTATACAGTCATTGTAATACTACACCCTGCCAGCCCTTCTCTACCAATCTGTGTGCATCTCTCTCTCTTATCCATCCTTCATATTCTCTCTCTCTTTCTCTCTCTCATTCTCTTTCCCCTGCAATCACATCTCATTTCCGTGCGATTTCCTTCAGAACATCTTACTTGGGAGGATTTTATTTTGACCCAAGCCAACGCAATAGCTCTGGTTGTGATCCTGGTTCAGTTGGCAATAAACAAGGCAATGGGTGTTGAGTACATTTATTTCCGAGACTGTCCCCACCCCAAGCTGTAGGAGGTTAAACGTGAGCTTCATCGCTATTTTGTGGAAACTTAAGAGACCAATTTCTGTGGTCAGGCCTCCTAGTGTCATGTGACACAATGTGAGCTCACGCTCACAATCCACAACTTCCTAATCTTAGCCAAACCACCTGTTGGGAAAGTCACATCATCTCTGCACAGAATTGAGGAAGCATTATGAAGGGGTGAGTCACATCGCACTTGTCGTGATCTCCTCTATTTTGGTCAGCCGGGTGTCTGACACATGGGGAAACCCATCAAAATGCTTAAGAGTCTTCAAACCAGACTGAGAAGTCCAGGCATCCCACCAACACATGGAAATCCCATAGGTAGATTGTTGGAATGGAATGCGTGCTCTCTCCCCGGAGGGATGCATCTTGATTACCTAATTCTAGAAAGTATTAGGCACAGGTTGGCAAGAGCTAAGGCTTGGGATCCCAGAATGTGCATTGGGGTAACTGCTGGAGTCTAACCAGCTAAAACCACATAGCTTGCCATTGATATTGCTGTCTGACAAGCCTGTCCTCGAACCATCCTACCCGTTAAGGCTTTGGCTTACAGGGTTAACAGGAGCTGAGTGGGATGACTCCCTGCCCTCAGGCCTGCCCTTCCAGGTTCTGCCGATGAGCCATGCTGGGCTGCATGTCATCAGGAATACTGCGGAGCTCCTCCTGGAACTGGGAGTCGTGCAACAGAGACAACAGCTCAGATGGGCAAATGCAGCCTGAAACCAGCCACTCGCTGGCCTAAAGGTAATGGAAAAAGCAATTGTCTTTATTGTGAAAAATCTCTCTCATTCATCCACAAAATGCACAGTCGCTACCGAATCCTGTGAATCTCTCCTCCAGACTTGAAATGCTCTGTATCAAATGCAAGGTTTATTAAAAATAATAAAAATCCTTCCATTTGATACAGTGCCTTATCTCAAAGCGCTTCACAGGATTACACTGCAAAGTGCATTGACTGTGTATTTTGTGGGCGAAATGCGGCAGCCAGTTTTGCTCCCAGCAATGTCAATAGATATTAATCTTAGACAATATTAATGATTATTATGGAATATAACAGCACAGAAACAGGTCATTCTGTCTATCAATCCTTTTTTACTTTTCCTTCAATGAGTAACACCTAGTTTTAAATCTCCTGTTCTCTTGCACCAAAACCTCAAATAATTATTTTCTCAAGCTTCTATCCACCCAAATCCTTTTGAAATGGATTGTCAGACTCTGTTTTGTTTCTAGCAGTTCCAGATTCCAACCACCCTCTGTGTAGCAATAATAATAATTAATAATAATCCTTGCACTTGATATAGCGCCCTATCACGTCTTTGAGATGTCTCAAAAGCTCTTCACAGAATATACTGTAAAGAGAATTAATTGTATATTTTGTGGGCGAAACGCAACAGCCAATTGCGCACAGCAGAGTCCTACAAACAATCGGAATTGAGTGACCAATTTTTTTAATTTTTATCTTTTTAAGATGTTTTTTTTCCAACTTCTCTTAAAAGACACTGTGGCCTTGTCCAAGATTGAATGAATAAGGCATCAGATTTTAGGACTTGGGACTTGACAAGCTCTTGGCTTTACTGACAAAGTGACAGATTTAATACAGTAGTTCAAAACCCTGTACCTTCGTGACAGTTATATTTTCAGGCCAGCACAAAGAGGGAATTGCGATATCACTGCCTGTTTTTGATCGCGTTGAAAATGGAGAAGGAAGAGAGAGAGAGAGAGCACCAAATGAGCCCCACCCAAACATGCATAAGTGTGTCAATGACTCAACTTAACCATCAAGGTCACCTCGCAAGGCAAGTCCTCTCAAATCCTGAAAACAAGACAGTCACAGTGGCAGGCAGTCAGAGGGTCAGACTAGCTGCTTAAATAAGCTCCGATCATCACAAGTTAACCCGCGCCCCCTCCACCCCCTCACACACACTTTTAAAGCCTCCTCCCCTTTAAGATTTACCTCTTTGACTGCACTTTCAGTAATCTTTGGCCACTTCCCCTCCCCCCTGCCCAGCCAGCTATGTAAAACGCTCTGAGACAAGAGACACCCTCCTGACATGAAAGGCGCTATATAAATGCCAGTTGTATTGTATCTCGTATCATTGCTGCTGTGCAAATGTGCCTTCCAAGTAATTTCCACTGTACTGCACTGTACAATCAGATCCATTTTTTGTCTGGAGTAAATTGGATCCTTGATTCCTGCCACAGCTGGAAGCATACATTTCAAATGACCATGCACCTGGAGATCACCTCACTCCATTTCTAAACAACTTAATTTTCTTCCCCTCATTTCTTTAAATACAATTTATTTAAAGATGGCCATCCAAATCCATTTTCCTGGTCACACAGTTTATAGAGTGTGGCCACATTGTCACGTAGTGGTTGGGAGCCATAGCATTGGGCATTACATCCAAAGACACCAGTCGAACTCAAACAGCAACAAGTTATACTAATAATGATAATAATCCTTGCCTTTGATATAGCGCTTTATCACATCTTTGAGGCGTCTCAATACACTTCACAGAATATACTGTAAAGTGAATTGACTACATTTTTGGGGGCAAAATGATGACTTATCCCAAAGATTAATCTGAAAGCACACTCATTACTGGCACTCACCAGTACTCATTACTCCACTCACCTGGAAGTACTCCAAAAGTGTCCACGATAGACTCCACCAGTCCCAAAATATAGAGTGCGCTCCCACAGACATTAGCAAAAAAAAACATGACCCCGATGCTGCCTCCAAATTCTGGTCCCAATGCTCGGCTGATCATATCTGAGCACAATAATCTGTCAAGGAAAAACTTCAAAGAAAGTCCTTTCTTTTTATCATTATTATTATTATTATCATTGAAAACGGCAAAGCTCTTAAAACTCAATTGGATGGCATCCGTTGTCTCTGTCTGCAGGCAAGTAAGCTCAACTCTGAATTTCTTGTGAGCAACATAAAAACGAAATCACTTCAATAAACATATTATCCCAGTATAAAACAGGCGCTTTACCCGTCAGGCTTCGGTCAATTTCACACCCCATTTGCTTTACTATCTAACTCTATCACACATCACCGACCGCTGACAATGCAAGTTAATTGATCAAAACAGAATAACTGCAGCAATGGAACATTAACACTTTTACATTGCGCATTTGGGAAGTTATTCTGATAGTTTCACCTTGATGCATCCATGGAGCATATTTTCTCTCAGGAGTAGCTCACTCGGAAGAAGACACGATTTGCAATGCAGGTTCGACACTATCGAATTCAAGATCCTCACCCTCACCTACAAGGCCATTCACGGCCTTGCTCCCTCCTACCTCTCCGACCTACTATCCCCCTACCTACCCGCCCATACCCTCCGTTCCTCTGGCTCCGGTCTGCTCCACATCCCCCGCCCCAACCGCCCTACTATCGGTGGCCGGGCCTTCAGCCTCTCAGCCCCCAGGCTCTGGAACTCTATCCCCCAGTGCCTTCGCCGCTTCCTCCCTTTCCTCCTTCAAGGCTGGTCTCAAGACCTTTCTCTTTGACCGAACCTTCAGCTCCCCTCTCCACTCTCTACCCACTCCTCGCTCCCTCCCTTCCCTCCCCTCACCCTGACCATTTCCCCCTTGCTCGGGTCCTGACCCAACTGTACAGCGCCTTGGGACGTCCTCCCGACATGAAAGGCGCTCAATAAATGGAATCTTGTTGTTGTTGTTGTTGTTGTATCCAAAAATGTAAACCACTGGAAATGAAAAATATGAAAAAAAAAAAAAAATGCCTGACAAAAACGCATGTTCCCCCAATATCTCATTATTATAATGCAGTTACACAGCAAAATACACAGTGTTTTGGCTCGTTCTGAATTTGGCTATTAAGAACAGTACAAAAGTTCCCAGACTATTCAACCTTGTAGGCAGCACTGCTGGTTCTTAATAATAGTCATAACAACTGCCCAAGTCCCGTCCAAGAGTTTTTATTCTATGCAAGTTTGACAGAAATCATTCTTTGCGTAAGTCATATTAAATGTATGGTCCCAACTGGTAAGATTAACTGTAGTAATAATCCTTATATTTGGTATGCTTTTCATGTTGGGAGGAGGTCACAAAGCACTTTACTGTAGAGTGTTGGGGGTCAGCCTGGCTCAGCTGGAAGCACTCAAAGCTCTGAGCCAGATGACTGTGGGTTCAAGTCTGGCAATGGGACTTTCAGCTCACAGTTGAGGCTACTGCTCCAACATAGCACCAGGCAAGCCCTGAATGGCGAACAAATTGGCTGCAGCGTTCGTCTGCCAAATACAGTCTCAACAACAACAATAACTTGGATTTATATAGCGCCCTCCATGCCGGACGGCGTCTCAGAGCGCTTTACAGTAACGGATTCTGGGACCGAGTCGGGGGAGGGGGAGGAAGGTGACCAAAGGCACGGTCAAAGAGAAAGCTCTTCAGCATAGACCTGAAAATGGGAAGGGAGGCAGCGAGACGAAGGGAGTGAGGAAGGAAGTTCCAGAGCCTCGGGGCATAGTGGCTGAAGGCACAGCCGCCGAGGGTGGAGCGGAGGACTTGGGGGACGAGGAGGAGACCAGACCCAGAGGAACTAAGCCAATGGGTACTGTTTTGAGGAGAGAGGTCAGAGAGGTTGGGGGGTGCAGATGAATGGAGGGACTTGAATACAAGGGTGAGGATTTTGAAGTGCAGTCTGGCAAAGACTGGGGTAATCGGGGAGCGGAGTTTCGTGCGGGTGAGAATGCGGGCACAGAGTTTTGAATGATTTGGATTTTATGGATGGTATTGGATGGGAGACTGGCGAGGAGGGCATTAGAGTATTCTCTACACTTCACTGAAAAATCCCGCTGAGCGCTATGAGATGTCTTGACGATGGGATAAGGCATGATATCAATTTAAATTATTATTCAAAAAAAATGTGGTCGCTCAATCCACGACTGCTTGTGGGGACGCTGCTGTGTGCAATTGGCTGCCGCGTTTCGCCCACAAAATATGCAGTCAATTCACTTTACAGTACATTCTGTGAAGCGCTTTGAGATGTCTCAGAGATGTGATAAGGCGATGTATCAAATGCAAGGATTATTATTATAAGTGACGGTGCCTCCCACCCTCCCACCAGCTCGACGTAGTTCTCCACCGCTGTCAAGTGCTTTGGGACACTACCTATTGTGAGGTGCACTATATAAGTGCATGCTGTTGTCGTTGAATGCTACTCCGTTTTGTGTCCGCTTTGGGGAGGAATGTGTTTTACTTTTATAAAAAGATACAGTATGCTCCACCGGCATCCAGGGCTCCATTGGTGGAGATGGCGCACACAGAGAGAACAGTCATGTTCACGATGAGATAAGCCACAATGAACATGAGAATCGCCTGGTACAGACCCGCCTGACCCACCACAAAACCTGCAAAAAATAAAGTTATAGTCACATAAAATAACCATGAGTTCACTGAGTGTTCAGTTAGGTATATTGGGGAATGGGGGAGTGGAGGGGGAGGTTGGGGAAGAGATCTTCGCCTCACCCCCCCCCCCCCACCCCCGCCTTGCCTCCTTCAAGGCCCGTCTCAGAACCCTCCTCTTCGATCGCAGTTTTTGCCCATCCTCCTACCCTCCCTCCCCTCCAACCTCTTCTAAATCCCAACCCCCAGCTCAGGTGCGGATCCTTGACAATCCAGCGCCTTGGGATGTCCTCCCAGTGTGAAAGGCGCTTTACAAATGTTAATCCTTGCATCTGATATATTATCACCTCTTCAAGACGTCTCAAAGCGCTTCAAAGAATACACTGTAAAGTGAATTGACTGTATATTTTGGGGGCTAAACAAGTAATTTGTTGTTGTTGTTCTCAGACATATTACTGCTTAGCCCAATGTGAAGCCTCATTGATTCTCAGTTCTCTAACCCAACATGCTCAATAATTTAGAGTTCCGGAATCCAGAATTATGGAGGCAGGTCTGCATTGGGATCTCCGTTTACAAGGCCTCTATAAGTACTTGCCCAAAATGAAGGAACATACATGAATGCAAGTTATTGTTGTTTGGCTCCAGAGCACTGGGTTTTCCTTTAGCACTCGTTCCGACGTCAACAACTAGTTAATAATCCTTGCATTTGATATAGCGCCTTATCACGTCTTCAAGATATCTCCAAGCGCTTCACAGAATATACTGTAAAGTGAATTGACTGTATATTTTGTGGGCAAAACACGGCAGCCAATGGCACACAGAAGCGTCCCACAAACAGTCGTGGATTGAAGTGACCAATCTATTATTTTTTTGAAGGAATTATTATCCCCAGAAAAGCGATCCGCCAATCAACTAACAACTGGGTTCTAACTTACTGAGAGGTAAACAGCGGCGTGTGCTCTAGTTGCTATCGGAGACAAGCTTAACTGGTTATGTGGAAGCAGGTGTTTGTGCTGCAACACATTCTTGATGCTTAATATTCAATTTGAGCTAAAGTAATTGATAGATAGTGTTGTTGTTCTTGTCGTTGACGTACAAATAACCTCGTCAGTGAATATTTTGTGTTGGCTCATAAGAACATGAATTGTTAAATGAAAGAAGACCAAAGTCCATCCAGGTCGCCTTCCACCATCCTGGAAGTCACATTCACATGACACGTCCCAAACCACACACTGTGTCCTGAGATTTTATTTTCTAACAATTTATCATTTCCTAAAAGAAATCTATCTAATTATGTGAAACTATTATTCCCATCTCGTAGCAATTTAGGTGTCGGCCTGGCTCAGCTGGTGCCACTCTTACCTCTGGGTCAAAAGATTGTGGGTTCAAGCTACAAGTCGGGACTCTGAGCTCAAACTTCCAGCCGACACTCCACTCGGTGTTGGGGGAAGCGCTGTATTTTCTTTTGGGCGAAAAGTTAAACTGAAGTCTTGTCTGCCTGTTCAGGTGGACGTTAAAGATCCCATCGCACTGTTCAACTAGAGGAAATGTCTCCTCACATCCTGGCCAACAAAACGCGAGACAAAATTTGTTCTTTATTGTCATTTGACGAGAGCGTTTGATGAGCTGAGAAAGACAGTCTCAAGAGTTCCTGTTGGCGATATATTTGGTACTGATTTGGTTCGTAAAGGGTTAAGAGCATTCAGTGTTGTGAAAACTGTCATTTGAACAGTACTGTTCTGTATATAGTCCTGCAGTTCCTTCCTTACCTGATGGAAGGAAAATTCGAGTGAAGCCATAAACGAAACAGAGAATGCTCGAGCCAAATAAAGAGGCACATTCACTGAGGGTAAACTGACCCGATTGTGAGCTTTCTCATTATGCGCGTGTGGGCGGGGGATTTTGGTATCTGCTGAGCACTGCACTGTAAATTGCAATCAGTCAATAACTACAGAAGCTATTTTAGTTTGTAAGGCACGTGTCTGCTTTGTAATATCCACCACCAGCCCATCCACCTGCCAAAGAGATGGCCACAGAAAATCACGTGTGTAGCTGCATTCGAAAAAAAATGCTGCTTTAAACCAAATTTCCGCATGCTTCGGCAGCGAGAGGGTGGAAAGTTTGATTCCCGGGCGATACCTTGGGCAAGTTTTCTTACTCCACACGCACACCTCTCTTTACCTAGCAGTAAGTAGGAACCTGCTTGTTAGATGGTTGGTGGATAGCTTTCTGGGGGTAATAATCCCTTAAAAAAGTAATAATTTGGTCACTCAATCCACGACTGTTTGGCGGCACTTCAATGCGCATTTGGCTGCCGCTTTTTTGCCCACAAAACACACAGTCACTCCGCTTTACAGGGTATCCTGTGAAGCGCTTTGAGACATCTCGACGATGTAATAAGGCTTTATATCAAATGCAAGTATTATTATTTATCATTATTATAATGCCTGTTCCGATTGGACCAGTTAACATTAAAAAGCCCTGTTAAAAATAATAATCCTTGCATTTGATATTGCGCCTTATTACGTCATTGTTGAGACATCTCAAAGCGCTTCACAGCATATACTGTAAAATGAATTGACTGTACATTTTGAGGATGAAACGCAGCAGCCAATTGCTCACAGCAGTGCCCCACAAACAGTCGTGGATTGAGTGACCAAATTATTATTATTTTTTGTTGAAGGGACAACAACAAAATTACATTTATAAAGCGCCTTTCATGTTAGGAAGACATCCCAAGGCGCTGGGACTAAGGGGTTATTATAAGGGTTTATTATACTAAGGGACTATTATTCCCTGAAAAACAATCTATCGATTGACTAACAACGGGCTTCCTAGTTACTGGTCGGTAAACAGAGGCGGGTGGAGTAAGGAAACTTGCCTAATGTGTTGCCCCGCCCGCTGTTGTTGCAACAGTGTTTGGAAGGAAAGCAAGGGATTTCCCTGTGTCCCTTGACGGTACAGCATTCCTTCCAGCTCTCAACTCACTGATAGATAACTTGGTTATTCATTTGACTGCATTCATGGGACATTCTCCCCCACATCCGTGCCATGACCCGCTCAAATCCCTGACTGTCCGACGCCTTGGGACATCCTCCCGACGTGAAAGGCGCCACACAATGTTTTGGCGTGGCGAAGCACTGCATCAGATGGCTGAATCATTTTATGATCTATTCAGATCGCCTCAAGCCTCAAAGTGCAATGATAACAATCCATGCATTTGATATAGCGCCTTATCATGTCGTTGAGACGTCTCAAAGTGCTTCAAGAATATAAGAATAAGGTGCATTGACTGTATTTTGTGGGTGAAACGCGGCAACCAACTTGACCACAGGAGTGTCCTGAAATGAGTGACCACATTGTTTTTTATTATCCTCAGAACGCGATCCACCAATTGACCAACAACCTACTTAGTACAACAGTAACAAAATTACATTTGTAACGCTAGGTGAACAGAGTGATACAATACAGTGAGGAACCCAAATTTCCACTGGACGTACACAGTCACTGTGTTTGGCTTCGCAGTGACTGTGTACAAAGAGGCTGTTACATTTGCTTACAAATATGCAGTCACTGCGCTTGTATATTCGCCCACAGAATATACAATCAATTTACTTTACAGTGTATTCTGTGAAGCGCTTGAGACGTCTTGAAGGTGTGATTAGGCGCTGTATCAAATGCAAGGATTATTATTGTTACTATTGACAGTTCTTACCTGTAAATAATTTTCAAATGTATCAACGTTATAGCAGGCGCACAAAATACACTTTACAATATATACATCCTCTGTATGTATCCATAGTCCCTCCGCCTCACCCCCTCCCTTGCCTCCTTCAAGACCCATCTCAAGACCCTCCTCTTCGACCGTGCTTTCGACCACCCTCCTTCCCCCCCTTCCCTCCACCCTCCCCGATCCCAACCCTCGAAACTTTGACCATCCAGCGCCGTGGGATGTCCTCCCGACATGAAAGGTGCGATACAAATGTAAAATTGTTGTTCTTCTTCTTCGACCGTGCCTTTGGTCTCCTTCCCACCTCTCTGCCTTCCCTCACCTCTACACCACCCCCCCTCCCACATGCTTGGACCCCGACACCTGACTGTCCAGCGCTTTGGGACGTCCTCCCGACGTGAAAGGCGCTCTATAAATGTAATTTTGTTGTTGTTGTTGAAGCGCTTTGAGACGTCTCGAAGACGTGATAAGGCGCTATATCAAATGCAAGGATTATTAATATTATTATTATTATTGCCCCAGACTGGCACACTATTTCAAGGACACATGTTAAAAGGCCTTTTTTTTTAAAAAAATGAAAAATCTGATTTTGTTTTAGATGGGATTTGGGGATTCAAAGTGAAGCCGATTGTATTTTATTTTGGTGGGTAACTTCAAAAAAATTAGGTCAGAGGAGAGAGAGTGTGTGTGTGTTTGAGAGAGAGTGTTAGAGTGTCAGAGAGAGAGTGTCAGAGAAAGTGTGTGTGTCAGAGAGTGTTAGTGTTAGAGAGAGTGTTAGAGAGAGTGTGTGTGTGGTTGAGAGAGAGTGTTAGAGAGTATCAGAGAGTGTGTCAGTGAAAGTGTGTGTGTCAGAGTGTTAGAGAGTGTGTGTGTTAGAGTGTTGGAGAGTGTGTGTGTCAGAGAAAGTGTTAGAGAGAGAAAGTGTGTGTGTCAGAGTGTTAGAGAAAGTGTGTGTGTCAGAGTGTTAGAGAAAGTGTGTGTGTCAGAGTGTTGGAGAGTGTGTGTGTCAGAGAAAGTGTTAGAGAGAGAAAGTGTGTGTGTCAGAGTGTTAGAGAAAGTGTGTGTGTCAGAGTGTTAGAGAGAGTGTGTGTGTCAGAGAAAGTGTTAGAGAGAGTGTGTGTGTTAGAGAGAGGGGGGGAGGGGAAGAGGAAGGGAGGATGAAAGTCAAAATAAAGTTTCCGACTTTACAATGCAAAAATGTTTTTTTTGAGAGACAGAGAGAGTAAGAGAGACAGAGAGTAATAGAGAGACAGAGAGATACAGAGAGTAAGACACAGAGAGACAGAAGAGAAACAGAGAGAGGGAGAGAAAGAGAAACAGAGAAAGAGAAAGACAGAGAGTAAGAGAGAAACAGAGAGAGAGAGAGAGAGAGAGAGGGGAGTAAGAGGAAGATACAGAGAGTAAGAGAGAAACAGAGAGAAAGAGAGAAACACTGAGAGAGAGAGAGAGAGAGAAAGTAAGAAAGACAGAGAGTAAGAGAGAGAGAAAGACAGAGAGAGTGTGAGAGAGAGAGAGAGAGAGAAAGTAAGAAAGACAGAGAGAAAAAGAGAGAGAAAGACAGAGAGAGTGAGAGAGAGAGGGAAAGACAGAGAGAGTGTGAGAGAGAGAGAGAGAGAGAGAGAGAAAGAAACACAGAGAGAGAGTAAGAAAAAATAAGAGAGAGAGAAAGACAGACAGAGAGAGAGAGAGAGAGAGAGGGAAGGGGTCACTCACCAATCCGCAGGAAGACCACTACACTGAACATGGAGAGCAGAGTCGGGATGACAACTCCAAAGAAAGTGGAGAGTTTCTTGGGCTGCGATGGGGGGTCTGTGCCCCGGGCCCGGGCGGGGTGTCCGGGGCTGCCCTCGGGCTCGGGCTGCCCGGGGTCGGGGCCTGTGAACAGTCTGTAGTTCAGTAAAGGTGTCCTCTCTGCCATTGTCCCACTCTCTGTGGGGTCCACCGGTCACCGAACCCTCCGCACTCCCCGTCCGCGGCACTGAGCTCCGACCAACCCTCATGTGACCCGTCACATGCTCAGGCCATCAGCTGCCACCACAGCCCTGAACCCTCCCCCTCCTGTCTGTCACTCCCTCCCTCCCTCCTGTCACTCCCTCCCGTCTGTCTGTCACTCCCTCCCTCCTGTCACTCCCTCCCTCCTGTCTGTCACTCCCTCCTGTCACTCCCTCCCGTCTGTCTGTCACTCCCTCCCTCCTGTCACTCCCTCCCTCCTGTCTGTCACTCCCTCCTGTCACTCCCTCCCTCCTGTCTGTCACTCCCTCCCTCCTGTCTGTCACTCCCTCCTGTCACTCCCTCCCGTCTGTCTGTCACTCCCTCCCTCCTGTCACTCCCTCCCTCCTGTCTGTCACTCCCTCCTGTCTGTCACTCCCTCCCTCCTGTCTGTCACTCCCTCCCTCCCTCCCTTCTGTCACTCCCTCCATCCCTCCTGTCTGTCACTCCCTCCTGTCACTCCCTCCCTCTCTCCTGTCACTCCCTCCCTCCCTCCTGTCACTCCCTCCCGTCTGTCTGTCACTCCCTCCCTCCTGTCACTCCCTCCCTCCTGTCTGTCACTCCCTCCTGTCTGTCCCTCCCTCCCTCCTGTCTGTCCCTCCCTCCCTCCCTCCTGTCTGTCACTCCCTCCCTCCTGTCTGTCACTCCCTCCTGTCACTCCCTCCCTCCTGTCTGTCACTCCCTCCTGTCACTCCCTCCCTCCTGTCTGTCACTCCCTCCCTCCTGTCTGTCACTCCCTCCCTCCTGTCACTCCCTCCCTCCTGTCTGTCACTCCCTCCCTCCTGTCTGTCACTCCCTCCCTCCCTTCTGTCACTCCCTCCATCCCTCCTGTCTGTCACTCCCTCCTGTCACTCCCTCCCTCTCTCCTGTCACTCCCTCCCTCTCTCCTGACACTCCCTCCCTCTCTCCTGTCTGTCACTCCCTCCCTCCTGTCACTCCCTCCCTCCCTTCTGTCACTCCCTCCATCCCTCCTGTCTGTCACTCCCTCCCTCCCTCCTGTCACTCCCTCCTGTCACTCACTCCCTCCCTCCTGTCACTCCCTCTCTCCTGTCACTCCCTCCCTCCTGTCACTCCCTCCTGTCATTCCCTCCCTCTCTTCCTCCTGTCACTCCCTCCCTTCCCTCCCTCCTGTCACTCCCTCCACTCCCTCTCTCCCTCCTATCCCTCCCTCCCTCCTGTCACTCCCATCAGCGCAAGTTAGCAGTTCCACAGCCTCCTGTCTGGCTTCTTATTGAACCCTACAAAGTCTCCATACTGTTTAAACGCCCCCACTTTCCAACACAACCCCCCACCGCCCACATACCCCTCCGCCCCTTCCTGGGTCCCTTCCTCTCCAAGCAGGGAACATGTCATGTATTTATCCGAAATGAGGTTTGATTGAACAAAGCAGCGAAGATCAAGGAGATGGAAGTCTTTATTGTTCGTCCCCTCGCTTCCCCCTCCGCTCCACCATGGATCGGCGGCCACATTTTCAGCCACTGCGCCCCAAAGCTATGGAACGCTCCCCCTCACTCCCTCTGCCTTGCCCTCCCACTCAACCACCCCCCCCCCCCCCCCCCCCACCTGCACTCCTTCCCATCCTTTAGGTCACGACTGAAGACGTTCCTCGTTGTCCGTGCTTACAGTCACCTCCTCCCTCCGGTTTGGCATCAGGCTCCGCCACTGTTAAGCGCTCCGAGACACTGTCCCGCACGAAGAGCGCGGTGTAAATTCAAGTTGTTGTATTCTTTCAGTGAAAAAACCTTTCAACTCACAGGCTTTGGAACACGTACCTAAACTTGGGTTTTTTTGACATCCATGACAACATTTTGTTCCGTTTTACACAACCACAGAAGGGAGTTTCTCTCAACCCGTGTCTGGGCCAATAATTCCCCCAATTAATTTGGTCATTCACATCATGGCTGTTTGTGGGATTTGCTGTGTCCCAATTGGCTGTCATGTTCACATGCAAAATATACAGTCACTACACTTTAAAATAAAATCCTATGAAGCTCTTGGAGACATATTCCTGGTGTGAAAGGTGCCTTACCAAATGTAAGGATTATTTTTTATTTTAACAAGAGAACATTTGCAAATCAGAAATTGCTGCACCAGAAAGAGCCGAAGGACTTTCATCAGAACCTCTCATGATTTTGTGAAATCTGGTTTTATAATTATAATCCTTGCATTTGGTATAATAATAATAATAATCCTTGCATTTGATATAGCGCTTTTCACGTCGGGAGGACGTCCCAAAGCGCTTCACAGAACACACTGTAAAGTGAATTGACTGTATATTTGTGGGCGAACGCGGCAGCCAATTGCGCACAGCAATGTCCCACAAACAGTCGTAGATTGAAAATGACCAATTTATTATTGTTTTGGGTTTTGAAGGGATTATTATTAGGCTCTGTGTGGAGTAAGGAAACTTGCCCAAGGTTTCGCCCTCTGCCTGGAAGTAGAGGGAGGAGTAGAGGGGCCAGCCAGGGGAATTAGGACGAATGACATCTTGCATGGAGTACACAGGAGTATAGCGCCTTATCATGTCTTCAAGACATCTCAAAGCGCTTTACAGAATATACTGTAAAGTAAAATGCCTGTATATTTTGTGGGGCAAAATGCGGCAGCCAATTGCGCACAGCAGTATCCCATAAATAGTCGAGGATTGAGTAACCAAATTCTTATTTTTTTTTTAAGGGATTATTACCACGCGATTGACTAACAACCGGGTTCCTACTTGCATGACTCCATTAGGTAAACCCAGGTGTGTGGAGTAAGGAAACTTGCCAAAAGCTTTACCCCACCTGGGATCGAATCTGGGTTCTTTCACTTGGAGGCGAGCGCTCGAACCACTACGCTACAGGACTCCATGAGGTGCGTCCATTTTTGCCCCAGTGACAACTTTGACTCGGCCTTTGACTCTTGTTCCTTTTGCAAAATAGGTTTAGCAATGATCACAATAATCCCTCGAGATTAACAAATGTAAGGAAGCACATTTTTCTGCTGTTTCTATACAAACATGACTGGCAGCAAACATGGAGCTTATAAAAATAAACATCTCTCACAAGTTGCTCGGGTAACAATGACTCCCACGACATAAAGAGTTTCGGGATCAACTCATTTGCTCATATTATTTCCAAAGACTACCTCCTAATTGTTATAATTTTGCAATGCTGAATTGCATGGTAGCTGAGCTATAATTTTACAAAATGTGGATGAGGCTAGGTGACAGAGCCCATCACTGTAAAAGATACACATTTCCGTTTGTGAAGTATGTAATTACCTCGTGGTGATGGAAGACATTTATGCCTGCACAGTGTTGCAAACACTTGCTACATATTTCAGTTCAGACATCAGCACTTCTTTTTATGACATGATGTTTTTAACAACAACAACAACAACAACAACAAGATTCCATTTATAAAGCGCCTTTCACGTCAGGACGACGTCCCAAGGCACTGCACAGTTGGGTCATGACCCGAGCAGGGGGGAAATGGTCCGGGTGAGGGGAGGGAAGGGAGGGAGCGAGGAGGGGGAAGAGAGTCGAGGGGGGAGCTGAAGGCACGGTCAAAGAGAAAGGTTTTGAGATCGGCCTTGAAGGAGGAAAGGGAGGAGGCGGCGAAGGCACTGGGGGATGGAGTTCCAGAGCCTCGGGGCTGAGAGGCTGAAGGCCCGACCACCGATGGTAGGGCGGTTGGGGCGGGGGACGTGGAGCAGACCAGAGCCAGAGGAACGGAGGAACACTCATGGCAAATGGTTCACAAGTCATCAGAGTTAATGATAAAATGATAATTCTTCTGGTAAACAGCCGCATCTTGAAAATCTAGCGCTTAGATTTTCTTGAGCTGCTTTTGAATTCAGCAGTGCACCAGTTGGAATTTGTCAACTTCCTCTGCGGACAGTCACTGTATATCTGACCTAGTTTCTCACGTGAACGATATGTATCCATGTTGCACAAGCCATTTTGTGATAAACCCTGCATTTGATATTAGTGGCTCATCACATCGAAATACAGTACCTAACAATACTGAAATTATTGTTAAAGTGTTGTGACTTGCCATCGAACGCAGCAGCCAATTGGCACACAATGTCACACAAACAACCAAGCCTTGTGAAAAAATCATCATTTGCACCCAATTACTTACATATTCTTTTCTGAACCTGTCTTTTGCTGTTGCCCTATCTGTAACATTTTGTAGCCTGTGAATGCCTCCTTTCTTCCCTTGCAGTGCGCATGTAGAAAGCCTCATTTAAATAGTTCACTTGAATGTAATTTCCAATCATTATGAAACCATTCCGTTATTCTAAATTTGGCTAAAAAATCCCCAGAAATACCCTGCAGTGTCATATCTATAACATTTATTATAGAATCATAGAATATTACAGCACAGAAGAAGGCCATTCGGCCCGTCATGCCTGTGCTAGCTCTTTGCCGGCTACCCAATCAGTCCCACTCCCATGTTCTTTCCCCATATCCTTGCAAATTTTTCCTTTTCAATAGTGCCACATGTCATGATAACATCTGTAACATCCTACCCCCATAATCCCACACTGTTCAGCGATCCACGTTATTGTTATTCTACGTGAAAGGCGCTGTAATAAATGCAAATTGTTTTATCTCGTCAAACAATTCAATTATCCACTTTCAAATCTGATGCTAAACAAAGTGGTTCCTTGACAGCAGTGTTGATGGAAACTGACAAGTAAGTGCCTTTGGAGAATTTAATCAGAGCGTTCATGTGATCTGATTGCTGGTAGTGCATGATTAAAACATTGTTTATAAAAACGTGTTTCCTGAATATATCGACTTTAAGGCAATATTTACAAACAATGATTATAATGTTTTTGGAACTATATTACAAAATGTAATGAGAATTGAAATCATTGTAATGAGAAATGAAATAGTGTTGCCATTGATACTGTTAATATAGCTTTTTTTTAAGCAAATTGTATTGAAAGTGGTTCCTGAGTTACTTCATAGTCCCGTCAGCAGTACTCGTTCGTCCAGACAGGATGATTCAAATCAGTTTTAAAACAGCTGTTTTTTTTTCACATATCCAGTCAGTAGGATCACGAATATGATCTGTGAACAGAGCGTACAAGTGAAATTTAGAGAATGTGGAGAAATTTAAATATGCATCAGTAAGTTATCAAAGTTGCAGTACAAAGTAAGTATTAACATCAACATGTTTCATTAGTACGTGGCCAGAATTTAAACTGCTTGTTTCCCAACTCAAAGCAGGCTTCTGTCCGCAGTTGCCCGCCACACTCACGATGATTGTAGCCATTATATCAGCCGTGTGAATTTCAGATTTAAAAAAAATTTTGGAATCGTAGAATCTTAACAGCGGAGAAGGAGGCCATTCAGCCCACTGCCCTCTGAGACGCTGGCCTGCGTTGGAGGGCGCGATATAAGTGCAAGCTGTTGTTGTTAAGCAATGGTGATGGGTTCCTCCCCGCTGATCAAACTAAATACTCAAGAACCCAGTGGGAGTCAGTGGTGGGAGAAAGCAGTGGGTCCTCCACAGGCTAAAATGGAGGAGACAATTCAGTGTTCTCTCCTGGTACAACAACAACAAGATTCCATTCATAGAGCGCCTTTCACGTCGGGAGGACGTCCCAAGGCGCTGTACAGTTGGGTCAGGACCCGAGGAGGGGGGAAATGGTCAGGGTGAGGGGAGGGAAGGGAGGGAGCGAGGAGGGGGTAGAGAGTCGAGAGGGGAGCTGAAGGCACGGTCAAAGGGAAAGGTCTTGAGACCGGTGTTGAAGGAGGAAAGGGAGGAGGCGGCGAAGCCACTGGGGGATAGAGTTCCAGAGCCTCGGGGCTGAGAGGCTGAAGGCCCGACCACCGATGGTAGGGCGGTTGGGGCGGGGGATGTGGAGCAGACCAGAGCCAGAGGAACGGAGGGTATGGGCGGGTAGGTAGGGGGATAGTAGGTCGGAGAGGTAGGAGGGAGCGAGGCCGTGAATGGCCTTGTAGGTGAGGATGAGGATCTTGAATTCGATCCTCTGGGGGATGGGGAGCCAGTGGAGGCGAGCGAGGGTGGGAGTGATGTGGTCGCGGTGTCTGGTGCGGGACAGTACACGAGCTGCAGAGTCCTGAATGACCTGCAGTGTGGAGGGAGGTGGCGGGAAGGCCGGCGAGGAGAGAGTTCCCATAGTCCAGCCTTGAGGTGACAAAGACGTGGACCAGGGTTTTAGCAGCGTGAGGGATGAGGTAATGCCGTAGTCTGGCGATGTTCCGGCGGTGATGGAAGGCGTTGCCAGTTGTGGCGCGGATATGAGGGAGAAAGGACAGCTCAGGGTACAGTTGAAAGACCTCCTTTGTGAAGTCTCTGTTGGAAGCAAGAGAACTAACTTACCGACTGGAAGACATCACTGCATTTATACCCTGAGAACGTGGTCAGACTCAGAAATATAGAACGAGGCCGGAACATGGGTTAAAAACCGACACAGTGCCATATTATTATGCACGGACTTTCCAAAATGTATTGGTGAATTATTTTCTGCCACATACAGACGGCCTCGAACACTGGGGCAAAGGGAGAAGCTCTGGGGGGGGGGGAGGGGGCAAAGGGAGAAGCTCTGGGGTGGGGGGAAGGGAGAAGCTCTGGGGGGGGGCAACGGGAGAAGCTCTGGGGGGGGGAGGGGGCAAAGGGAGAAGCTCTGGGGTGGGGGAAGGGAGAAGCTCTGGGGGGGGGGCAACGGGAGAAGCTCTGGGGGGGGGAGGGGGCAAAGGGAGAAGCTCTGGGGTGGGGGGAAGGGAGAAGCTCGGGGGGGGGGGAAGGGAGAAGCTCGGGGGGGGGAAGGGAGAAGCTCGGGGGGGGGCAAAGGGACGAGAGAGGAGGAAGTGGGGTAGTGGGGGGTGATGAGAGGGGGAAAGGGGGTAATGCGAGGGGGAAAGGGTCAGAGAAGGGGAAAGGGAGGGGAAAAGGGGGGTAATGCGAGGGGGAAAGGGAGGGGGATGTTGGGGGGAGGGGGGGGGGCTGTGTTGGGAAGTTTAAGGAATGATTCTCTAAAACCCGGTCGGTTAAAGAACCGCCGCAAACTGAACCCCGGGATCTGGGGGCGGGGGGGGGGGGGTGGGGTGGGGGGCGGCGGCTCAACTCCCCACATGGTGGGCGATGAAACAAGCGGCGCCGCCCCCGGTGTGTAAGCCGCTGAGGTGCCTCCGGCTCCCTCCCGCCGCCAGCGCCGGGCCCGTTGCCCCTGGTGACCGCCGCCCCTGCCTCCGCGCGACACTTTGCGACGGTCTCGGCCTCACCAGCCTCCGCGGTTTACGGCAGGTCGCTCTCCGCCGCGCGGGCCGTTGCCAAGGAGTCGCGGCCCCGTGTCCCTGGTAACGGAGCCCGAGCAGCTCATCACCCGTCAAACTGCACTGACTACAGGTCAGTGTGTGATAAACTACACTGACTACAGGTCAGTGTGTGATAGACTACTAACTACAGGTCAGTGTGTGATAAACTGCACTAACTACAGGTCAGTGTGTGATAGACTGTACTGACTACAGGTCAGTGTGTGATAGACTACTGACTACAGGTCAGTGTGTGATAAACTGCACTGACTACAGGTCAGTGTGTGATAGACTACTGACTACAGGTCAGTGTGTGATAAACTGCACTGACTACAGGTCAGTGTGTGATAAACTGTACTGACTACAGGTCAGTGTGTGATAGACTACTGACTACAGGTCAGTGTGTGATAGACTACTGACTACAGGTCAGTGTGTGATAAACTACTGACTACAGGTCAGTGTGTGATAGACTACTGACTACAGGTCAGTGTGTGATAGACTACTGACTACAGGTCAGTGTGTGATAAACTACTGACTACAGGTCAGTGTGTGATAGACTACTGACTACAGGTCAGTGTGTGATAGACTACTGACTACAGGTCAGTGTGTGATAAACTGCACTGACTACAGGTCAGTGTGTGATAAACTACTGACTACAGGTCAGTGTGTGATAAACTACTGACTACAGGTCAGTGTGTGATAGACTACTGACTGCAGGTCAGTGTGGGATAAACTGTACTGACTACAGGTCAGTGTGTGATAGACTGCACTGACTGCAGGTCAGTGTGTGATAGACTGCACTGACTGCAGGTATCCGTGTGATATACTGCAGTAAGCTTTGCATAAATCTGATCTGTATAAATTATATAGTCACTTAAGTTGTACATCTACCCAAGTCCTGTTGAATTTCCAATTATTAATATGGTTCACGTAGCTCATACTTTGCATATGTCATATTAAATGTATGGTGCCAACTGATACTGCTATATCAAATGCAAGGATTATTATTATTATTATTACTTGTGTGAGGTTTACTGTATAACGGATGGAAAGAGGCGCTTGTTTTGGGAGCCCAGAAAATCTGCTCATATTCATGCTGTCACCTCCTTTAGAAACACGGGACGTTTAAGTGTTTGTGTGATGGGCAAAATGAGTGAATACGTTTCAAGATTGTTTTAAGAATTTTACAGACCTTGAGGATCGTTCTCCTCTAGTATATTTACTTTTTTTTTATGTTTTCATAGGCTGGTTATGAAACGGATATAACACCATGGGGGACAATCTTACTTATGAAGTTGAGCTAAATGATTTGGTAAAAGAGGTAGGTGTTTCATCTGCTTGATAGAAGATGGCATTGACTTTGATTGTACTGGAGGGATGAGATTTGATTGACTTAATGGTCTTTTTCATCCTTAATTCAATGTTCTGTAAAAAGGAGCATCAACTCTTCCAGTGGCTGACTGGGTAAAAGCACTATTGGTGTTCTAAGCAAAACCGAGCCAGATGGTTGCAGTTTTCACTCCTGTATCAAGTGCAAATACAATCGAAAGTTTATTATTATAATAATAATGATAATAATAATCATTTGCAGTACATTTGATATAGCGCCTTATCACATCTTCAAGACGTCTCAAAGCGCTTCACAGGATATACTGTAAAGTGAATTGACTGTATATTTTGTGGGCAAAACAGATTATAACCCGGTGGTTTGGTTGCATAAATGCAGACATTGTGCTATAATAAGGAGCACCAAAAGAAAGGATGCCACGCTTGGAGCTTCCAGGTCATCAGCTCAGGTCACCTGTGACATAACTTCCTGCACAAATTGGCAGCATCATCGGTGCTTTCCTGCCAATGGGCACCATGTGTAAAAGGCTGGTCAATCAAAAACAGAAATATACAAACATTATAAACTGTACTGAAGTGCTTTTTGATTACAGAGCTCCTAGACGCTATCCTGCATGAAAAGGGCTACATAAATGCACATTATCATTGTTGTTGTTGTATAATGGGAGTCAGCTTGTATATTCGATAACTACCAGCCTTGTATCCTCTAGTATTTAGAAAAGGGGTTCAGTGATGACAGTTTCTGTCCTGTAATACACTATAGAATTGCAATTTAAACTGCAATAAATATTGCAGCGCCTTGGGACATCCTTCTGAGGTGAAAAGCGCTATACAAGTGTAATTTATAGGGTGGTGGTGTTGTTAAGAATGAACTGGAATCTTGTAATTATTAATGTAGTATTTCAGAAAATATCCTATTCAATTATATATATACCGTACTAAAAAAAAATTCTTTCAGTATTTAATATTTGCTGACTTGGAAGAAACTGCAAACCATTTTGAGAAGGAATGCAAGAACAAAGGCAAGACAATCCCCAAATCTCCTGGGAGCAATGTTCAGGAATCAAAGATTTTGATTGTTCAGGTATGCTTTAAATATGTGCAAGCTTCACTATCGAAGTAAAATGTCCTACAGTAAGAAGCATCTGCTTTTGACGCACAGTGAAAGAGCCGGACAGTTTTCCGTTGAACTATATTTCCTGGTCCATATCATGAGATTAAAACTACACTGTGGGAAATGACATGTCATAAATCAGATTTCTAAAGGTTGAAGGAGAGCTAAACATTTTTAGATGGGGAGGGAACAACAACTGATAACAATTTTGTTCAAGGGCAATATCTATGCCAGTGCTTTGGGACATCCTGCTGATGTAAAAAGAATTTTACAAATGTGATTTGTGTTGTTGCACCTGATAAACCTTCTACCAGTAGTCAGTGGACATCATTCAGGAGCAGGAAACGTGGCTGATCCCCCACTCCCTCCCCTCTCTCTAACTCGGGTAATTGAGACCAATTACCAATTACATCCAAAATTACTGCCATGGCTCAGATCAGCTAAACTGTGCTTAAATGCTTTCCAAAATAATAAGAGTTGATATGCAATAGCAAACTGTTAACTCTCGTAGAGCTGCTTAGAATCGATACGCTCATGACTCGGAGACCAATGGTTGTTTAACAGAATTTATTAAGTTTCCGAATATACTTGAAAATATACTGATCAGTACGATGTTAGCTTAAAGGTTATACAGTTAGGAATTCCAAGTTCACCCACACCCAATTTAAAGCAGGAATGCACTTAAGAGTCGATACGGTTAACAAATATGTTCACAGACGACAATCATAATCATGATTACCCCGACTGGCTCGCAATACTAATTTATTAGGAAATCATAGCTTCCCAATCACGAATACTATCTAAGAAAAGTAACTAATAATAAAATCATATAAGATTAACACAATGGGTACAAGAAGGAAGGTGTGTCACGTGTGGATGGGTGAGTGTGAGTATCAGTATGCTACCGCTAACTAGCAGCCGCTTCGGCAGCGTCACGATAGGATATTCCAGCAACGAGTCTTGTACTAGTCTGCAGTGTGCACTCTGTCGGCCCCCAGCTCTTGTAGGCAGGATCTCTCTCTCTCTCCCTCAGATACTTGGGTCACTCAGCTACCCCTCTTGGAATGTGCACTCTGCCCTTCTCTGGTCGATCGTCTTGTCGGACGTTCTCAGTCTCTCTCCTCCTGCGCTCCCGAGTCACCCAGTGATCAGCTGGACAGACTGCCTCTTTGATCAAGTCTTCGGCTACCCTCCCTGCCCTCCACCCTCCCCGATCCCAACCCCCAGCTCGGGTCCAAATCCCTGACTGTCCAGCGCCTTGGATGTCCTCCCAACATGAAAAGTGATGTGTAAATGTAATTTCGTATTGTAATGATATCTATATTTTTAAAAAGTAGGTATTTCGCTATTGGACTTTCGTTTTATTTACTCAACAGGACAATATCCTCACAGCATTTGAAGATGGCAGTAGAAAGGTATTCTTTGAGCTCTGGGAAGAGCACATCCCTCAACAAATTCGGGACAGTCAACCACTGACTCAGAAACTGGAGTTTTATCTTCAGATTCATTTCACTATCTTCCCACTGAAGAACTCTGTTGGAAATCCTGTAAGTTTCTGTTTCTCCCAGCACTCTGGGATGCCTTTCTGACATGAAGGGCACTATATAAGTGTAATACAAATGTATACCAGTGGTTCCTTTACACAGTTAATCATTGACAATTTCAGTGCCTCTATCGTTCCTACATCTGTATTTTTTTTAAAGTTGATGCATGTAACCAACACATATTCTCCTGTAAACTTTTGTCAGTTGCTTTTTGTCCTTTTTTTTTCTGCTGCTTAATATTTCTGTCTGTGATTCATTTTATTTCCCAAATGTTTGACTCTACCCCAGGTTCATCACATTTACCCTTCCTGCATACAGGCATATGAGAGTAGAGTAGGCCAATTCTGCCTCTCTAGTAATTCCCTCCATCGTGTCTGTGCCAGCTCTGAAAGAGCTGTCCAAATCAAACCCACTCCCCCGCCCTCTCTCCATAGCCCTGCAAATTTGTCCTCCCCAAATATCTATCTACTTCTCTCTTGAAAGTTGTCATCGCATCGGCTTCCACCACTCATTCAGGCAGTACATTCCAGATCCGAGCAACTCTGTGTGAAAAGATTTCTCCTCGCCTTCAATCTGATTCTTTTGGCAACTATTTGAAATCTGTGTCGTCAGGCTACTGACCCACCCTGCACGCAGTCTCACGTACTTGACACGCCTAATAATAATCACTCCAAAAAACAAAACAATAATAAATTGGTCATTTTCAATCCACGACTGTTTGTGGGACATTGCTGTACGCAATTAGCTGCCGCGTTCGCCCACAAATATACAGTCAATTCACTTTACAGCATATTCTGTGAAGCGCTTTGTGACGTCTAGAAGATGTGAAAAACGCTATATCAAATGCAAGGATTATTATTATTATTATACGCATAATCCCAGTTTTTGCATCAAAGCTATTTGTCACCACAAGGTGGAGCTGTTTGACTAATGGACATTTTGTGAAACATTCTCTTATCATTGTAAAGTATGTAACTCCTAATATTATTTGTATCAAAAAAATTGCTAAAATTTACACACGACTCTAATGGCGTCCTTTCTTTTGCCAAAATGATAAGAGCACGCTCTCTTTTCTCTGCTCTCCTGCCCCTAGCCTCCAAGACAGAAGGAAACATAAATTATGGAGGTACTGTAGTGGATGTTCTTATAGGTTTGCATTAACTTAACTAAGACTGTCTATCTGGCGATAGATCTGTTTTTTATTTACTCGTCAGTATCCTCTGTTTATGGTATCATTACTGGTCTAGGAACACTGGCTCCTCGGGAGTTCAAAACCCCTGTTTAGCGGCCGGGGCTGCTAACATTCTCGATCAGTAATTTAATCCAAACAATGGGCCGAGTTTGTGAGACCTGCAGAAGGCTTTGTGAATAGGGGGCCACAGAAAACGTTGTGAAACTCGATTTGGGATCCCCATCTCAGTTTCCACCAACGTAAAGTTGGCATTTGAGCAGGGTTGCAGAGGGTGAGCTGCACCTCATCATAAGGACATAAGAATTCGCTGGGCGAAAGAACCCCAAGGTCCATCCAGTTCTCCTTCCACCATCCTGGCAGTCGCATGACATGTTGGGTCCCAAACTATATATTGTATCCTGAGATGTTATTTTCTAACGGAACTCTATCTAATTTGTTCTTGAAAGAATCAACACTTTCTGCTTCCACCATCTCCCATAGGGAGCCTGTTCCAAATGTTTACTGCTGGCTCACTGGAGCAGTGTTTCTGCAGATTTATTCTGAATTTACTCCCTTCAATCACAGGCCATGTCCTGTAGTTCCACTGTTCAGTAAAAGATAAAATAGCTTATCATCCAAGATTTGCTAGTTACTTTTGGCAAATCGTGCAAATCAGAATCCTCGTCATCTTGATTTTGGACAGCAGTCCTGGCCACTATACTGGGGTGTTTGAACACCTGAGGAGCCAGTGTTTCTGTACCATAAACAGAGAGTATATCTGCTTGATATTTGCATCACAGTGTTCTATATCCTCATGTATGTGAACCTTCTCAATGCACATATGACTATCATCCTATCCCCCTCCCAAGGGATGCCATATTGGAGGTCACCTCTGTTCATACTGTAAATACATCTAATCTTGATAAATGCATTTGTTGTTGTGGACAGTTCTGTGTACCTTCAGACAACTGACTTCACTCACTGTGACCTCTTGATGTGTTATTTCCACTTTAATAGGACAAAGCTGACACAGATGAAAGAATATTTCACTTTAAAAAGTACCTGGAAACGAGAGGAGCCACATTGAGCCAGACACCCGAGTTTCTGCCTTTTTATGCCTTGCCGTTTGTCCCCAATCCTACTGTGCACCCTTCTTTTAAGGAACTTTTTCAGGTATTCGCCACATACTGCCTGTTTACCAGCAAATTCTGTTGCACTAATGGATAATTTAGGTGAAACTGCCGCTAAAATTTCTTGTTGCTATATTTGGCGAGATGGGGTCCAGGTTTATGGAGAGAAAAATCCTGGTGTGTGTGTGTGTGTGTGTGTGAGAGGCTTGCTTTTAACTTGGGAGAAATCAATCCCTAACTAGGGGCAGCACAATCGTTTGCAATTTTCTTCCGCAATGAAAAGGACTTACAGTAGAACCTTGTTATAACGCGCGTCGCTATAATGCAATGCTTGTGGACACCCAACATTTACCTGCTTAAAAAATCCAAATCCCAATGTCACACGGACCAGAAATCCCATTGTTATAGCGCCTTATCATGTCGTTGAGACGTCTCAAAGCGCTTCACAGAATATACTGTAAAGTGAATTGACTGTATATTTTGTGGGCGAAACACGGCGGCCAATTTTGCACAGCAGCGTCCCACAAACAAGTCGTGGATTGTGTGACCAAATTAGTATTATTTTCGAAGGAATTATCTCCCCCGGAAAAGTGATCCACCAATTGACTAGCAACTGGGTTCCTACTTACTGCTGGGTAAACAGAGGTGTGGAGTAAGGAAAAATCCCCTGCCGGAAATCCAATCCAGATCCTCTCGCTTGCGAGACGAGGGCTCTTTCCACTCAGCTACAGGAATCTATGCAATTTTGGATATGCAGAAGCAATTAAGATTAGGAGGCGAAAATAATGGAAAACAACAATTATCTTATTCTGGACACATGATGGATATCTGAGCTGGTGTTTCCATTCGCTCTGAATGGAGCATTTTCGGTAAATGCTGGGAAAAGTGAAATAGAGACATTACATCTCTTGATAAAGACGTAGCAAAATCAGTTGGTTGAGTGGAAGAGCTTTTTCGTTCTGTCTTAAGGTCTGAATTTTTCTTCTGTATGTAGGATTCCTGGACTCCTGAATTGAAGATGAGACTGAAGAAATTCTTGTCTATGAATCTAAGAGCAAAGAACATCCCAAGGCTCCTTTCTTTATATGTATCCTTAACTTACAAAGACTTTCCAATTTACCCTTTAATGAGATCAAAGTGCTAGGATAATAGTTCAACTGCCTGGGAAACTCGACCTAGGTGCAACAGAAAACGTTATTATTAGGTTTATACATGTGTTTTGATATTCTCTCTTTGTCTTTTCTTACTCCTGAAAGCTGTAACTTACGTTGCCCTCCCCGCTCCAAGTGGCCATGTTAAATTCTGGAGCCTTGACAATGAATGAGTATGGCTGTTTGATACTGAGAGCCATTGGAACAGTCTTGTTCTCATGGGACCTAAATGCACACAGGGCACTGGGATTCAAGGTTAATCTGTTCCGATGATTTTAAAATGGATCCAGTGTAAAGCTAATCTCAAACAGCTACTCTGTCTCATGGTCATGGTCTATGTTACCGAGGATATCGTCAAAACATCCCCATAGACAGTTGTCAACATAAAAGATTGTGGCTAAAGGGAAAAACATGGCTCATAACTTACATCAGAAGACAGCAGCTTCTATATCGTCTGAATGCTGCAAAGCCTTACACATTATAATAGAGAAACCAAGTACAAAAAAGTAAGCTGTGGAATGTTGACTGAAAGTGTGGGCGAAGATTGATTTTATTTTTAAAAAGTGAGCTTTGAGAGCAAAGAGAGAGAAAGGCAGATATTTGCAGTCTGTAATTTGTAAGTTAATGTCTAACTTCAAAAATAATGCTCTTTGACACAGCCTTCACAGAAAGACATCGTACAGGGTAACCGAGGTAATGGTTCCATTTTCATATTGTGTGGCCATTGCTTCAATTATTTTCCATGAGAAAGTTAAACCGGCAACTTCCAAATGTTGCTAAAGACACCAAAGAGCAAATTGTTATTGCCTTTGAATGGTTGTTCACGGAGAATATTTGAATCGTTTCCCCAGATTTTAAAGGCAAATGGTGGTTTTGCTTCTCACACTGCATTAGGAAACTTAACAGACAAGGAGGGTATTCACTCCCAGCATCCATGAATCAGGAAATCATTGCTGAATTCTTTTCTGGCAGTTTGGGAAGCTTAAGTTGACTGCATCTGTTTACGCCTCTTGTGCAGGATTTAACTCATTATCCGATCATTTGTGGCACATGAGACTGACGGAATGAAAGACCATTCTCTCTCAGCTGTCAGGGTCCTCAGTGAAGTAAACATGGGCATTCTCAAATGAATCTTAGGGGCATGAGTCCAGAACAGTGAAAAAACATTGCACTATATTGGCAGTATTGCTCAGAGATGAAGATGAAAGAATTGTTACATTGGTGCAGGTTCTAAGGTCACACCTCTTCGACCGTGCTTATGGTCACCTCCCTCCGGCTCGGCATCGTGCTCCTCCAAGCCCTCTGGGTCACTGCGTGAGGGGTGCTATATAAATGCAAGTTGTTGTTGTCACAGGAGGGGGAATCTTCACGCTGGGTAGCGTCCCGGAGCGCTTGGAAACCTTCACTTCGGTGGGGGGGGATAATGGAAAGTTGAAAAAATTGCACTTATCTGGTTATCTCTTCAGTCAACAGAACATAATAATTTGTAGGCGAAAGAAGACCAAGGTCCATCTAGTTTTCTAGCAGAAATCGATTGAATTTGTTCTTGAAACAAATGACATTTTTTGTCTCGCTAGGGAGCCTGTTCCACACGTTTACCACTCGCTCACTGAAATGGTGTTTCCGCAGCTTTTATGAATTTACCCCCCTTTAATCGCGGGCCGTGTCCTCTGGTTCTATTGTTAGGTACAAGATAAAACAGCTTATCATGGTCTACATTATCTATTCCCTTCAGAATCTTAAAGACAGTAATCATATTGCCCTCAACCTTCTCTTCTCCAGTATGAACATGCCCAGTTTATCCAATTGCTCCTCGTAGTCCAGTCCCTCCATCCCCTCAATCATCTTGATTGCCCTCCTCGGTGTCCTTTTAATCGCTACAATATCCTTTTTATATTGCGGTGACCAGAACTGCACACAGTAATCCAAGTGCGTTAGTATTAGTCACGCGTGTTCAACTCAGAAGATGAAACTTTAAAATTGTGAATAATAAAAATACAATTGGTGGGCGCTTAAATTGAACTTTGTTTTTGTTTCCCGCTTCCCCAGAATTGCAGCACCAACTCCAGCAACAGTTAGTGGAAGCTGAAAGAAGAGCAGCAGCTTACATGAAAAAATATAATAAAATGCAGGAGGATTATCACAACCTGATTGGAGTCACTGCAGAGCTGGTGGACTCACTGGAGGCTACTGTTAATGGGAAAATGGTGAGATGCTTTTTTAACCTCTCCAGTCATGTTTTGAATCACTCGTGCTGAGGAAGTCCTGTATCGGAATTGGTTTGGTTGCAAGGTGAGTAGTTATTATTTAGTATCTAAAACAGTTATTAGGCGTTTGCAGGATTTCTGACCCTTTGTTTGATTTTTTGCGCCTGAGAAATGCCAGGAAAACAAATCGGTGGCTTCCAGGTTTGCGAATGCTGCATTAAAGGCCTAGATTAACCTGAGTGCACATCTGGAATAAGGAGCAGTCCAGTTTGCTTTAGTAAGACTTTGACTCAAGCTTCAGTACTGATAGGATCTGTTCAAGGAAAGGATGTGCACATCAAATCCCCAGACCCCGTCGCCCCTCACACACTGATTGATCCTAGTTTCAATCCTCTTACTACTGTAACTGGTTATATTGTGCGGGCGAGCACTGTATCTGCCCTCTTAACAGCAACAACTTGCATTTAAATAGTGGCCTTCACGTGTCCAGGAGCGCTACCTGCAGATTAGACAAGAGGATGAGGAAGTTGAAGATGGTGACAATCTACGGAATAGAAATGGGTCAAGTTTATCACGAACTGAACTTTATGAACTAACTGTTTACTAGATCACGCCCGAGTACCTTCAGAGTGTCTGCATACGTCTCTTCAGCAACAAAATGGGACAAAGCCTGCCTCAGACTATTGACTTCACAAGGCCAGGAACTGTGAGTGGAAATCGTTTTGTTCTTTGTTATTTGAGTCGTTAGTTTCTGCTCTGAAAGTTGGGGTGAGGTTTCACCCTCTTCCCTCACGCATTGGGCCATTATGTGTGATCTTAGAGCAAACTACTTGAATCAAGAAGCATAGAAAGTGAACCCGATCCAGTGGAGAGGGCCCTGCATCATTGAGGCCAACTGCAACGCCTTCTCCAACTGAGATCAACTCACTTGGAACAGCGAACACTCATTCGATTACAAAATGCACAGGCGCAACACTTTACAGTAAATCTCATGAGGAGCTTTTGAGACAAATGCCTTTTGGAAGTGAAAGACGCAATATCAAATGCCAGGATTATAGGATTAGAATTAACAGACGTAGAATTGGATTTGAGCTCTCCCTGGCTTGTATGACAGTAAAACAAATCACACGTCACACAAGCAAATTGTTCTCATAGATTCTTTAGACCTGTAGGCAATCAGCCCTTAACCTGTGCATGCCAGAGAAGCTGACAATGGGCTAACTGTAATTATGTGCCACACCTGCATATTCCCTCTGCATAATGGATATTACAACATCTTTGATGGACAAATGTATTAACTTTGTTTATAGCAAACCATAAATCAACAGTATTATCAGAATATTACGCTCTCTTTACCAGCAAATTCTTGCCAAATGAACAGGAATGTTCATTTGAACTTTTCCACTCCCAAATTTTGTCCTGTTTAAAGCACACCAAGTATGTTTCCTCCTCATTCTCATCGACATTCACTCTTCATCAGTTTTAGATCTCTGATCATAGATTCTCCTGCACACAGCTTCACTCCAATAGAGAAAGGCTGAGAAGCAAGATCAATAGAAAATTGTGGAACTATCTGCCAACCTATATTTTTTCACTTTATTGATAAAAACTAAACATAGCACGTTTTGGGGTGGGTGGGGTGAACATCAGCATAGGCTCAAAGGACCTGGAGATCCGCTAAAAAATAGCATTACTTGCCAGTGTCCTGACTGCGGGCCTATAGGAGGTCACCACCTCCTGCTTCTCAGGGCAGGCCATCACACACAGACCCAGAGAGAGAGAGACACACTCGCAGACGGACACACATATACACTCAAAGACACACACTCAGAGAGAGGCACATACATTCAGAGACACACACTCCGGGACACACACTCACTCAGTCCTCGCCCGCTCAGTCACTCGCCCGCTCAGTCACACATACAGCGGAGAGAGACACATAGACCATCTCAACACTGCGGCCTCAGAGTGGAGCGAAGCCCATTTCCCGCTCGCCCCACACTGCGCATACGCATCCGAAGCAGCTGTGTCCACAGTAATAATAATAATTCTTGCATTTGATATAGCACCTGATCACATCTTTGAGATGTCTCAAAGCACTTCACAGAATGCCCGCCAATCTACCAACATTACATTACTAGCATTACAGAAGCAGCAAAGTCCTGCCCACAATAGCTCAGTGACTCAGAGTGGAAGGATATTATTGACTAATATTCATGTCCCATTTTGGCACAATTTCTCGTCTGTTTATTTCAATAGACATGCTGAGAAATTTAGTGTGATCTGCAGCGTGTATCAGTCGCGTACCACCTTTGTTAGAATGCTACCTGAACTGGACTTCACTGTGATCTATCATTTCATTTCTCTTGAAGGAAATTCTTGAAATATTTAACAGAACAAAATAACAGGGTTTAGAATCACCTGGAATACTTTTCTGCTATAACGGATCATGTAACCATCTCTGCATCATAATCTCTGAATCAACTGACCGCAGCTTTCTCTATCAGTACTGTAATTGTACTGTAATTAGCACTGTAAAAGTACCCGCATGAAGCCCACCACCTGCTCCCCGCCCCTTTACTCTCAGACCTCGTCAACCTCTCCCTGTCAATTGGCACCGTTCCCACCCCCCCTAAAAACAGCTGCCATCACCCCTATCCTAAACAAAAACGTTCCCTGGACCCATCCCTGCTCACTAACTACTGCTCCATCTCCAATCTCCTTTTCCTTTCCAAGGTCCTTGAAAGAGTTGTTGCTTCCCAGCTTCACTCCCTCCGGTCCCGCCACTCCCTTTACGAACCCCTCCAATCGCATTTCCATGCTGCCCACAGCACGGAAGCAGCCCTGGTCAAGGCGACAAATGACATTCTGTCCCCCCCACCCTCTGGAACTCCATCCCACATTCCCTTCACCTCGCTCCCTCTCTTGCCTCCTTCAAGGCACGCCTCAAGACCCTCCTCTTCGACCATGTCTTCGGCCACGCTCCTACCCTCACCCTCTCCGCCCTGCCCTCCACCCTCCTGGATCCCCCCACCACTGTGGTCCTAATCCCTGACTGTTCAGCGCCTTGGGACGTCCTCCCAAAGTGAAAGGCGCTTTACAAATGTAATTTTGTATTGTGTTGTGTATTATATATTCAGTTCTTTACAATACAAGATCACATTTGTATAGCGTCTTTCACATCAGGAGGATGGCCCAAAGCGCTTTATATCAACGTTGAAATTGTCATGTTTTTCCAGTAGTTTGATGGTGATAATTATTGCATTACAATGTTACAATGTAATTGGAGTTGATTACCTTCCAAGCCAATTGTAGCTGGTGTGCCCACAAATAACATACAATTAATTTATCTGTAGTATGATTTATTTGGAGGATGTAGTGTATAATGTAGCAGAGAACAATCCTCATATTCGCTTACAAATACACAGTTACTAGCCTTTGCAGAAACTTTGTGAAGACATCCTCAACATTATGGTATATAGAATATATCAATGCTTTTCACTCCTCTCAGATACTTAAGAGGGGATCCGGATATGTTTTGAAATCCTAAATAGTGAAAGATTATTCACTCAACTTCATAAATCAGGAGCAAGAGGCATAAACAGGGGATATTACTGGAACCACTGAGGATTTTTTTTCATGTGATACTTAATAATAATAATTCTTGCATTTGATATAGCACCTTATCACGTCTTCGAGACATCTCAAAGCGCTTCACAGAATATACTGTAAAGTTTAGTGACTGTGATTGTGGGCAAAACGAATGGGCTAATTGCCCACAAACAGTTGTGGGACACATAAAACCATTTGTGGGTTCCTACTTACTGCTAGGTAAACAGGTGCCTAAGTTTTCGCCCTGCCCAAAAGTGGAATGCTGTTGAAGCTCAGCCCGCAATGTTATTTGAAGAACAATAGAAAAAGCTGCCTTAGATATTTCAGCAGAGGAGAGCCAAAGGTATGCTGGTGCTTGCTGCTCTATTGGAACTAAACACTTTAAACCCAATACCCTTCATGTTGTTTCTCTTGAAACACTCAAATAGAATGAGCAGGAAATTGGGATTGCGAAATGGCCTCCCTCTGTGCTGTTATTTCTGTTTCTTGACTTTGTATTTAGACTTTAATCCTTTTCTCTCAGCAGACTCTCGCTTTCTCCACAAAGCCATTCACTTTAACAGGACTTGTTCTCATTAGAGCAAGGAGCTAAGGCTATTATATATATATATACATTTTCCCATAAACAAGTGTTTTAATTTCTTTGCCTGCTGTTTTGTCAATCAAGTTTTTTTTTATTTATCTTTTTCCCAAGCTTGCTAACTCTGACGTAAATGTTTTCTATTTTATTGTCTGATTCTTTGTCCGAAAAGGATATTTTCTGTAAGAGCCCTTATCACAGTGAAGGAGTTGTAAGTGTCTGAAATTCTTACTCACCTTTAGAATGCCTATTTCTTTGTCCTACACTGTACCTTTCATAATTGTCTGTCCATGCTCTACTTGCCTTGCGATATCACTTATCCACATTACCTGAATGTTGCATTTTTTGTTTTGCCCACAATGTCCTTTCCAAAATTAAATGTTAAAAACGTTACACCAAATACACGAGTTCCACCCATCATTTTGTCGGTAAATTATAAATTTATTATTATAAACCTGAAATCAATTATCATCTTATAGAACTTTTAACAGTTTGCTTTGCATCGCGTTTGGAAACCGAGATGGTGATTCACTATCCGTACATTTCATTGGCCGCAAAATTTATCAGAAGAAATTCATCAGTCGAACCAAAAGGCATTTCTGACAAGTTGCCTCACACCAAATCAATCCCGTGCTAGTTTTCAACCACATCTGACAACATTTTACGTTGCAAATATGTTTCAGCATTTTAGCTGAGGTGGTTTTATTTTGTGCTGTGCAACAAGTGGCTTTGATGTTTAGAATTTATTTTCCTGAGCTTCTTGCAAATGTAGTGTTTGAGGAGGTGTGACTCAGCATGCTGCTCTGGTTATGCCACACTAAGCTTGCCATGATATGCATCGCATGTGAGCTTTCTTTGCCAGCAGCCTCAGCTCTTTTAATGAAAATGAAACCGTATCTGTACTCCATAAATATGCTGCCATATGGGGGATCTGCTGACCTAAGCTGTCGGAATGCATTCTTAAATGCTGTTGCATGTTTTATTTGACCAATTTATAATTAAAGCAATCTGTCTAAAAAAAATATTAAATCTCTTTTAAACTAGGCTTCTTCTATGCTGAGAGCATCCATCGTGCCCGTGTGAGTAAATGTTCAAGTGCTTTGGGACGCTACCCTGTAAATGCAAGTCGCTGTTTCGAATCAAGGCTTTTTTTAAAATTGGCTTCTGAATGGACTCTTTTATTCATCTGTTGCAGGAAATCCAAAGATGTGCCTTTATTGCCATCTCTTGATTATGAAAGGTTGAAAAACGACTTGGTTTACGGGAACGATCGCCTGAAGGCACTACTCTTGCAAGCCCTGCGTTGGGTATGTATGAAATGGTTATTTTAACTCTATAATAATAATCCTTGCATTTGATGCAGCGCCTTATCACATCTCAAAAGAGCTTCACAGGTTATACTGTAAAGTGAATTGCCTGAATATTTTGTGGGTCAAACTCTACTTTCGTCTTTTTTCTTGTGTTGGCTAAATGGCATTTGAAGAAATTGCAATCTAATTTCCAAGATTCCTTTCCAAGAAAGGATTTGTAACTAGCAAATCCTGGCAGATAACCAGACTTGTCATCTGGAATTCCATCAGGATGCTAACCTCCTCCTGCCTGGCCGAGATCCAGCTTCACAGAATTCAACTAAATCCAATCAGATCTAGAGAACTGGCCAGAGACGCACTACAAATCCACACGATCTATTGTTCACAAATCCTTTGAGAATCTTGCGAATTATCTTCCATTGTGGCACTGGTACAAGTCTCTAGTCTACTCATGAATGTAACATATTTTTGCCAATTCCCTTACAATAGCGGCTGACGCAGTCTCAAGCTGGAGAGCAGAGGGATACAGTGCTTCAGGCTTACATCAGCAATGACTTGCTGGAATGTCACAGAAGCAGTCAGGTTCGTAACTTGTGTTAACAATAAAATCTTTACGGACGTGATCTTGTCTCGTTCGATTCCTATTCTCTCACCGTCTCCATTTTACGGTTTCTTCTCCAGCCCCCGCACTGTCACGTCTGGCATCCCCCAGGGCTCTGTCCTCTGTCTTCAGCGCTTTGGGACGTCCTCCCTACGTGAAAGGCGCTCTATACATGTAATTTTGTTGTTTTGTGGTTGTTGGTCCTCTCTTTAATATCTACATGCTTCCCCTTGGTGACATCATCCGCAAATGGGGTCAACTTCCTCATGTATGCGGATGACACCCAACTCTATCTTTCTGCCTCCACCCTCAACTCCAAGATCACTGCTGTCCTGACAGACCGCCTGTCGGACATCAAGTCCTGGATGAGGGCAAATTTCCTACAGTTGAATGTGAACAAGACTGAGGCCCTCCTCATTGGCTCGCGCCAGCGCCTCAGCACCTCAGGCTCTGGCAGCATCAATCTCCATGGTTGCACACTACAACTCACCAGCCAGTCAGTAACCTTGGTGTCTTGTTCGACCCTCAACTGTCTTTTCTCCCACACATTCATGCCATGACCCGCTCTGCTTTCCTCACCTCCGTAACATTGCCCGACTCCGCCACTACCTCACCCCTCAGGCCACTGAAACTCTTGTTCATGCTTCATCACCTCCAGGCTCGACTATGTAAACGTCCTGCTTGTCGGCCTTCCCAACTTCTCCCTCCACAACTGCAGATAATCCAGAACTCTGCAGCCCGTGTCCTCTCCCGCACCAAACTCCGTGACCCCATCTCCCCCACTCTCGCCCGACTCCACTAGCTCCCTATCCTTCAGAGGAGCCAGTTCAAGATCCTGGTCCTCACCCACATGGCCTTGCACCACCCTACCTCTGCGACCTCCTAATCCCCTACCAACCCGCCCGCTCCCTCCGCTCAGCCGGCTCTGGCCTGCTCCACGTCCACGTCCCCCAACCCTCCCGCCCCACCATTGGCGGGAAAGCCTTCAGCCACTCTGCCCCAACCTCTGGAATTCTATCCGCCACGCTCCTCCTTAGCCTCCTTCAAGTCCCGCCTCAAGACCCTCCTCTTCGACCATGCCATCGGCCACCCTCCTTCCCCTCCCCTCACTTCACCCCCCAACCCCAGCTTGGGTCTGAAATGCTGTACAGTGTCCAGTGCCTTGGGACATCCTCCTGACGTGAAAGGCGCTATACAAATGTAATTGTGTCGTTGCTGTTGAAACATTAACTCATTTTCATCTCCATAGATGCTGCCTATGGGTGTTCCCAGTGACTTCTGTTTTTATTGTTTTTATTGTGATTTGTGTTTCTGTTTGCAATCTATCCGTGTGTTCAAAGAACTTCAGCATCTAGCTTCTACTCTTCTATGGCAGTTTAGGCAGGTTGCTAGGTTGCTATCTCACAATGGGAAAGAGAAATTGCTTTACTGTGCCCTCCCCAAAACTCAATCTGCCCCAGTGGGAATCTTGTAGCATGGTGCAAAGCAGGGGTCGAAGATAATCATAATAATAATCCTTGCATTTCATATAGAGCCTTATCACGTCTTCGAGACTTTTCAAATCGCTTCACAGAATATACGGGAAAGTAAATTGACTATTTTGTGGGTTAAACGCATTAACATCATTAAACAGCACCAAATTTATTTTAAGCTAGTATCTGCTCCAGCCACTATGCCACCCAATGCAGAGGAGCTGTGTGCACCTTTCTTGGACAGGATTCAGATTGAGCCCCGGTGTTGGTACGATCATCTCCTCATGGCTAAGTCTAAAGGTCAAACATGAAATTATTTAAGGAGGAAAATTAACCCAGTGCAGACAGTCTATAATAATAATCCTTGCATTTGATATTGTGCCTTATCAAGTCTTTGACACATCTCAAAGCCTTTCACAGAATATACTGTAAAGTGAATTGATTGTATATTTTGTGGGAGAAACGCAGCAGCAAATTGCTCACAGCAGTGTCCCACAAACAGTCGTTGATTGAAATGACCAATCTATTGTAATTTTTTTTTAACAAATTGATAAAATTATTACCCCCCAGAAAAGTTATCTGCCAATCGACTAACAGCTGGGTTCTCACTCACTGCTAGTAAACAGCTACAGGACTCCAAATTGCCTAGAATTTCGGACAAATTATCATAGAATTGACAATGGGTCATTTGGATCCAGCCCTTCTTTCATGTGAGTGATATTGCTATGAGTTTTTTAATGACTCGCTCAGGAAGTGGGCAAGTTTTCATCAGACCATTGGTGGATATTTTTCGAGGGTAAAGCCATGTTTTTGAGGTGTTATACTGCAAATGTTAAGTAACTCTGTGTGGGTACAAGAAGGCGGGCAGTCAATGGTACACTATACCAGTATAAGAGTGGTGAGGGAACCCTTTCACTTATACAATCAACGCAATGTATAAGTTAAGCTATTTTGTGTCAAAGCTGTTCTAGCAATACAAAGTGGTTCACTTTCTTTTTACCAAAGCCTTTTTTTTTCTTGTTGCAGAGAAGTTTATTTAATTTGTTTAATTCGAAGAGTGAGGTTGTCCGGCAGTACACTGCACGACTGGTCAATGCCTTTGCATCACTCTCAGACGGTGAGTTCTTTGTGGCCTGTTTCGGATCACTTTTGGATGTAAAATTCTCCTTCTCTTTGAATTGAAACTTGTTGAGTTATTGAGTTATGAGGGGGTGAGACAGAAGGATTGAGGCAGGAAGTTCAAGAGATTAAGGGCATAGTGGCTGAAGGCACGGTAACCAATGATGACATAGCATGGTCTGGGATGCACAGCAAGCCTGTGTTAGCTGAGCAAAAGGCAACAATAACTTGCACTTTTTTAGCGCCTTCCACGTAGGGAAGAGTCTCAGAGTGCTCAAAGGCAGAGGAGTAGGGAGGTACTTGGGCATGAAGGGATTTGTTTGTAAGTGTGAGGATCTTAATATCAATAAGTTCGGATTCAGGGAACCTAGAAAGAATTAGACTGATGGGTGTGGGGAGTTTGGTATAGTTGAGGATACAGGCAGTGGAGTTTAACTGGACCCTGTGGATCTGGAGAGGCTGGCCAGGAGAGTGTTTGGTGCAAGATGGAGTCAGTGGCAAGAAACATGGCGGAGGTGGAAGAAAGCAGTCATGGTCGGGGGCTGTGGGGTAGGAAGGTCAGCTGACCAGACACCGATATTACGCACTGCTTTGGTCACGAGAGCTTGACAGGTTGTGCATCCGGGATGATAATTGACAGATTAACTTCAATACAGGTAAATACAAGTTACTGCAAAATAGTAAGTAAAAGTAGGAAAAATGTGCATTTGTAGGGATGGGTATTGGTTGATAACGTGAGGCAAGAGTAAATAAAGCAACTCAGATGTTAGGTATTGTGAACTCAATTAAGTTCATATCCGCTGAAGGTTTGCTCAAACTACAGAGCTCTGATAAGTCAGGGTGCTCCAGGAGTACGCGTTCACCACTGGTCTCTGATGCCCATTGGCCTATGAGAGTGCAGAGAAGAGCGCTTTCCTAACACTGCAAATGGAGTCAGCAGTTTGAATACTCTTCAGCTGTAATAATAATAATCTTTGCATTTGTTATAGCACCTTATCACATCTCAAGACATCTCAAAACACTTCACAGAATATACTGTAAAGTGAGTGACTTTATTTTGTGGACGAAAGACGGCAGCGAATTATGCACAGACAGTTGTGGATTGGGTGACCAATTTACCATTATTATTATTTTTTTGAAGGAATTATTACATCCAGAAAAGTGATTCGCCAATCGACTAACAACCAGGTTCCTACTTACTTCTAGGCAAACAGAGGCATGTGGAGTAAGGAAACTTGCCCAATGTTTTACCCCTGGCGGGAATCAAACCCAGGTCCTCTCACTTGCAAGGCGAGTGCTCTAACCACTAAGCTACAGGAATAGGTTATCAGGAAAAAGTGGTTGAGGCCAGGACGCTGGGACTCATTTAAGAAACAGCTTGATGCTGTAATGGGAAGAAACCAAAGTGGGTATTCTAGAAAGATAAGCTAAATAATATTAATTCTTATACTTGATACAGAGCCTTATCGTGTTGTTGAGGCATCTCAGAGCGATCCAAGGAATATATTATAAAGAACCTGCATCTGAATTCCTCTTATGATCTTGTGGGACCTGATGGGGGTTTATTGATTTCATCTGCTGATTGTTTTGTCTGCTCTACTCACACATACCAGGGAGGCTGTATTTGTCACAAAACACAGTGGTATTGAGGGTACTTGAAGAAACACTGAAGGCTGAGGAGAAGGATTCTATTACAAGAGAAAACGTACTCGGAGCTCTGCAGAAGCTCAGCCTCAGGTGATGTGTGTACTTTGCTTTGCGGTTTCAGCGTTTGGTGTACATACACCAGAATAAACCACGGAGTTCATAGCAGAAAGGGCAGAACTATTGATCCTAGATGTTTGATAGTGCCTTTTGACATTTGTAGTTTGCAGGTGCAGAATGAAAGTGGCAATTTATAGGCAACACAGCTTAGGGTTTAACCACGCACCTTAATTGCTAGGTGTAGGATTGCTCCTATTATTTCTCACATACCAAGCCCTTCATCTCAGCTGCCAAACTGGTTTGTCTTTGACCGAGCCTTCAGCTCCCCTCTCGACTCTCTTCCCCCTCCTCGCTCCCTCCCTTCCCTCCCCTCACCCTGACCATTTCCCCCCTCCTCGCTCCCTCCCTTCCCTCCCCTCACCCTGACCATTTCCCCCCTGCTCGGGTCATGACCCAACTGTGCAGCGCCTTTGGACGTCCTCCTGACGTGAAAGGCGCTTTATAAATGGAATCTTGTTGTTGTTGTTGTTGTTGTCTGTCAAAAGGCCATACGGCAGAAACCTACACCCACCCCCAGTAGACAATGTCTACTGGGGGTGGGTGTCACCTACTGTGGTTTTAGTGGTGGTTCACAACCTCAAAAGAAAGGGATGTAGAATGAAACAAAACCTGTCTCGCCGTCTTACACACCCAATTCTAATTTCAACAATTCTAGAGTTATTATTCTTAAACCACGAGACCTTGTAATTTTGGTTTGGATTTCGTAGATGACCGTATCTCGCAAGCCTTTTTTTCTATCTTAAACAGAGCAAGAGCACAGAATTTTTATGAGCGCAGTTGTTTGTGTCAATGCTTTATTTGGTACCGCCACCATCAAGCGCTCCGGAAACCTACCCTGCGTGAGGGGTGCTGTATATATGCAAGGTGTTGTTGTTAGTTAGCTGAGAAAATCCCTACTCTTTACTTTCAGGCGTGTGCTGCAGTCAACCATGATCAAAGATGGCATCATGTTCTGGCTGGTGAACGTACTGGAGGACTCGGATTCCTTGTCGGACTACACCTTGGAATACTCTATTGCACTTTTCATGAATCTCTGTCTTAGGACTCGAGGTGCATATGTGAATCATGCTATCACTGGCCACACATCGAGCTTCATTTCTGGGTGTTTAGGATTTATTTTTCTTCCCTCCCCCACCCACCACCCCCTTCATTCTGCCCCGACCCTTGACTTCCAGCAGGGTTAACTGAATAGTGATCAATTGTTGGATCTTTGCTGATTCTCTCCCCCACCGTCCCACCCCCTCCTTTTTACGTTCAGGGTCACTAAATCCAATGGCAACGCTCCAGCTTATATCAGCAAACTCCACTTTGCGGATAGATCCTGGGACTTTATAGGTTTGTGAGACAGTAACTTTATCAACTGAGCCAGTGGGCTGCATTTATTCTCTCTTTGTTGTCAACCAAATGATTCATGTTGCGCTACTAGAAATGGGATTTTGGTTGCCACGTTCACCTATAAAATACAAAGTTACTACACAAAATACACAGGCAGCCTTTGGTGATGTACATTAAACCTGTGAAACAAAAGGGTTTCATCACTGAAGATTTTGTCAGAGACCTGATCTCATGTCTAGTCAGTGAGTAATTGGATTAATACGAGTAAAATCTTCTATATTGCCTCCCCACTCCAGTCTGAAGCAAATCTATTTTTCCACCTTCCAGGCAAACAGAAGTGTGCAGAGTATGCCAGCAGAGTGTTGAAAGTGTTGTCTGATCTTTTGGGTCACGAAAACCATGAGGTAATATCTGAAAGTAAATGATACATGGGTGTAAACACAAAACGTTTGCTGGACGCTTAGGTGACAGAGTGTGCAGTGCCCATCATGTTTCCCTAAAGTCGACTGCATATCTCTTGATTGAGTAATGACAAAGTATAAAAAGAGTTGTGAGAAAAAGTTTAGATGAGTAGAAAAAAAGTAGAACTGGGACCAAATGGAGTTACTTAGAGGATGAAAAGGATAACAATTGAATGAGCCATGCAATTCATTGATTTGAAAGTGGCAAACACTGTAGTTGTTTATTTCAGATAAGGCCATATGTAAATGGAGCTTTGTACAGCATTCTTGCTGTCCCTTCAATACGCGATGAGGCAAAAGCAATGGTAAGTAATAGAGATTTGTGTTCAAATCCGTTCACTCCCTGGCACCTCCCTACCTCTTTGACCTCCTCACTCCCCAATCCACCACCCGGCACCTCCTCTTGACTGGCACCAGCCTCCTGCTCGTCCCTCGCAGCCTCCACCCCACCATCGGAAGTCGCGCTTTCAGCCACTACCCCCCCAAATCTCTGGAACAGTCTCCCTCAATCCCTCTGCCTTGCCCCCTCTCTCCCCTCTTTCAAGTTCCCCCTGAAAACTTTCCCCTTCGACCGTTTTTACCACCACCCCCCCCCCCACCCGCCCCACCCCGGGTCAGAGTCAGACTCCACCACTGTTAAGCGCTCTGAGACTCTACCCTGTGTGGAGGGCGTAATATAAGTGCAAGTTGTTGTTATTGAGATCAGAATCTTTACTTGTGGCTGCTTCTTTGTTGTTGGCTTTCATTTGACCCACTACTTGTGGAGTCCCGTAGTGTATTCGTTAGCGCGCTCAGTTTGGAAGCGAGAGGACCCGGGTTCAATTCCTAGGTAAGCGAAACCTTAGGCAAGTTTTCTTTCCTCCACACACCTCTGTTTACCTAGCAATAAGTAGGAACCCGGTTGTTCGTCGATCTTTCCGGGGGTAATAATCCCTTCAAAGAAATAATGTTAACTTGGTCACTCAATCCATGACTGTTTGTGGAACACTGGTGTGCGCTTTGAGACATCAATATGATATCATGCAAAGATTATTATTATTTTCCAAACTTCTAGGGCATGGAAGAAATTCTCTGGTGCTTTATCAAAGAAGGGAGTTCTGAGATGAACAGACAGATTGAGTTTATTATAAAACAGCTCAACTCTGGTTAGTACACGACAACATTTTGTATTCAGACAGTGCCTTTCAGACAAAATAACACCTCAAAGAGGTTCACACAATGAGAATAATTTGAAATGAAGTGAATGTTGTAATGAAGGCAAAATGAGCTGCTGTAGAGACAGAAGAAAGAGGAAGATAATACCAGATTATTAATGTTTGCTCACCTATGTTGCAGATTAGCTGCTGTGATTGCTTAAATTCCTGCACTTCAAAGTAACTTGTCTTGCATGCTTTGAGCCATTTTGATGTAGCAAAGAATAGAATAACCAGTATAATGTTTGATTTAATTACAACAGACTAAACTAATCCTCAAAGTTTCTGCTCGCTGTTGCCAAAATGTATTGGTCACTTTTTTGGTTGATAAACTATTGTTGCTCTCTATTACTCAGTGTTTTTTTTAATGATAACCTTTATATAAACTTGTAGCAGAGGAGATGCCTGATGATGTGGACACTGACGAGGAGGAGGAGGAAGAGGATGATGAAGTAAGTCCAAAGTTGTTCAGTGCTTATTGTGCTTGTGTACTCAAATTTCCATAGTTAATTTTTTTTCAATTTAAAAAAATAATAATTTGGTCACTTCATCCACAACGGTTTGTGGGACCCTGCTGTGCGCAATTGGCTGCCACGTTTTGCCCACGATATACACAGTCAATATATTTTACAGTATTTTATGTGAAGCGCTTTGAGGCATCTTGAAGACATGATAAGGCGCTATATCAAATGCAAGGACTTATTATGATTATTATTAATTGTGTTCATCATTCTCGTACCACCCAAGAGAGTCAATTTGGTTTGTCCCACGTCAGTTGTTGAAAATGAGTGTTCCTTTAGACACTTGATTATAATTAGATTTCCTATTTCTAAATCCTATTGGCCCTGAGGCCTTACTTTTGCTATAAATGACTGAAACTGTTGAAGGCTGTTTGGTAACTGAAGAAACCTAGAGAAATTTAGAGAATCCAATTGATACAAAACTGTTTAATTTTAATAATGATTTAAATCTCCCCACCCCGATACAGGATGAGCATGAAGCGATGGAGGCCGACTTAGACAAGGCTGAGGTATTAAAACCTCAACCTGCTGAGTTATCAGGAGAAAAACTACTGACGACTGAGTACCTGGGGGTGAGTGTTCATTTTCAGACATTGAAAGCTTTTTAATGTCCACAAAATATACACTTTGCAGTGAAGCGCTTTGAGACATCTAGAAGACGTGATAAGGCACTCTATCAAATGCAAGGATTATTTTTATTTAAGTTTGAATGTTAGAAATACTGAAGAGCTGCCTCCTCCAGAAACCGTTACTATGAACTGTGTTTATGCATTGATTAGTAGAAGAAGAAAAAAATGGCAGAAGAAAAGAGAATAATTTGGTGGCAAACCATTGGTTTCTTTTTGTTACATTTTTGACACAAGAATGACTCGCTGCTTGTTCAATCACTATCGAATAGCCCCAAATAATAACAATCCTTGCATTTTATATAGCGCCTTATCACATCCTTGCGACGTCTCAAAGCGCTTCACAGCAACCAATTGCGCACAGCAGTGTTCCACAAACAAATGGTTTACTCTGTCCACTGGTTGTAAACATTTTGAAATGCAAACATATTCTGATCTGTTTTTGTCTTGCAAAACGCCCTTTGAGGAAGCAGCTCATATTGATCAAAATTCGCTATCTCTTAAAAATTGCGTTTACAATTTGATTTGGAATCGCATTGCATCTATGAACTGAGACAACGGTACTCTTGATAAGAATAATTATGAATTTTAGTAATAATCAAAGATAATAATCCTTCAAAAAAACAATAATAATTTGGTCACTCAATCCACGACTGTTTGTGGGACGCTGCTGTGCACAATTGGCTGCCACGTTTCACCTACAAATGTACAGTCAATACACTTTACAGTATATTCTGTGAAGCGCTTTGAGACATCTAGGAGATGTGAAAAGCGCTATCTCAAATGCAAAGATTATTATTATTATCTTGAGATATTGTCAATTGTGCCAATTTTTTTGGTGTAATGTACATAATGAATAGTAAGGGTCTAAACCATTGGTTGAATGGACCTTCATCGATCAGTGGAGAAGGCACTTAGGGATTTGTATTGGGAATTGTGAAACCAAATGTTCATTTGTGTCCAGACAAACATCCTTAATCTTGCAGGTGAGAGGGTGGTCCAACCTGAAGGCTGGAGCGCGAGAAACGTCCATAGGCCGCATAGACAATATTTTTGTGTTTCCCTTCCAGAAACATAACATACCATTTACAGGTTATGGAGGGAGCAGGTGGGTCAGATGACATGGAGGGAGGGTGGCGGGATGGAATGAAACTGTCCTGTGGGTTGCCAGCTGGACCATCCTCATGTACAGTATGGACTTTCAAACCTTTGACAATAGCTTTTGTGGCATCCGACAGATCATGACCAACACAGTGAAGGCCAGGAGAAAGCCAATGCCATCCTTACACCAAAGCTTCGATGAACCTCTACAGCGGCCAGTTACACCCAGTACACACAGAACAACATGCACATCGTGAGTATCAGGAGCAGCACCGAACTTGGCAAAGCCAGTGGACCAAATGTTGTTAATCTTTATGATTCGGATAATATACTGGCGGTCGGTTATACTGCCGCTCTAAACCTGCCATTTTATTGTACTTTAATATACACTTTATCGTAACTTGTTTTCAAGAACATAAGAATTTGCTGGCAAATAAAGCCCAAAGCCTGCCATCTTCCTGGTGGCTGCATGCACATATGTCCCGAACTACATAGATAGTTGTCAAAGGAACCAGAGGGGAGATGAGGAGAATTTTTTTCACCCAACGAGTTTTAGGATCTGGAATGCACTGCCTGAAAGGGTGATGAAAGCAGATTTGATAACAACTTTCAGGAGAGAAGTGGTTAGATATTTGGGGAGGATAAATTTGTAAGGCTATGGGGAGCGAGTGTTAATAATTCGACAGGCAGTGGTAAGAGTATATAGTTTATTGCACAAGATAAAACATAAGGTTTAACAGTCTGTAATCAAATTATACTACATATAATAACACAATAACAATACAACACATATATGTGAGCAAAACATTTACCACACAGCACGCACACAGAGGTTGCTCAGTACTCAAGAAAATAACACACCTCAAAATACACAGCAGAGATCAGCCCCTGGAAATCCCTCAGGGACAATTGATTCTGTAACACAAAACTTCGGAAGACGGACAATCCCCAGTACTGTCTTTTAACCGGGACCGGTACGGAGTTCAGCCTCTGTAATCACCTCTCAGATATAGCTGATGCTCACAGTATCTTGCAGCCCTTAGTACTGACGAGATAGGGACAACACACACAAAAACAATCCCCAGTACTGGCTTTTAAGCACTGACGATACAGGGACGACGACACATATCCAGACTAAACAGACCTGGGATCACACTTTGACGTACACTGGAGAGATCACAGAACAATCACACAGAATCACAGAGAATGGCTCCTGGAAACCCAACAGAAACAATCAGCTCTTAGCCCAGCACCTCACTCATATTGTCTAACCGGACTTCTGTGTTTCAAACAGACCAACCACTACTTATGCTATTACTTCTATGCCTAGCAGACAGAACCGAAAACATATTACTCACTACTTTTTTCACTTTTCATGGTCACTTTCGTACTGGAGGTAAATTCCCTCACCCCTGTACATATACATAGATACAGTAGAATCGATATCGATTCCACTGGGAAGTGCCCTGACACAACTCCCAACTATTTCAAAGTTACATCTTTTATGTGTTTCTAACTCCACCTACCCTGGTCACAGAGTAGCCCCCACCCTTCGCAGGTTGCTTTGCACAGAGAGAGAGATATGGACAACTTCTGGACAGCCTTCCTCAGCCTCTCAGCGTTGAGATAGGCAGGTGTCTGAGTTTGCAGCCTTTTCTTTCCGTGGTCCATTGTTCTTACATCTATGCTCAAGGACCCGATTGCTCATTATCTCAGAGGAGTGAACATCTTCCCAGGAAAATATGAAATGTAATCAGAAGCTAACATCCAGCATCCAGCATTTGCATTTGCGCATCCAGCAAAGCTACTTTTAACCATTTAACTTCAAACCCTCTGGAACATTCGGTTGCTGTTTGAAATATACCAATGTATCCCGAGGTGATAGTCAATATATTTCAACAAGACCGGGGGTGTGGGATTAATTTGGACAGATTTATCAAAGACCCAGCCTAGGCACGATGGGCTGAATGGCCTCCTTCTGTGCTGTATAATTCTATGATTCTATGTAATCACATATATAACCGTATTATTCTTTGGGAATGGCAAATCGCTTATTTAATCTAATGTAAAAGATTTATTGTAATTCTGTGCTCTAAGTATATATATATATTTACATACCATGCATTGTATTTTGTGTACTATAATGCCTATTTCACAGGGATTTTAGGATTACGCAACTTTTTTATGTTTGAGCCACCAGGTCCGAGGATTGCTAGAGAAGGCAGCTTTCCTGTTGAATATTATTCCTGTGCTAGGCCACAGTACTGATTGTCATTGCTTCCACACTCTCCCTGCCTTCTCAGCCTTCTCGGAGATTAGGGATAACAGAGACGAGTTGCAAGTTGAGAAGAAAACAGAAAGAAAGGGAAAAGCTATAAAGAAAGAAAGAAAATTAAGAGGCAGAGTAGAGGACAAAGAAGAGGACAGAAACAAAGAAAATGAAAGGAATTCAATGGAAGATAACTCCCAGCAAAAATCTGGCACCCCAACTGCTTATAGAAGGAAACTATATTTTGCATTGCACTTTTAAGTTTGCACAGTATGATTGGAAACTAATATATATGGCTGTGATTCGGTTAGCGCCTTCTGCACAGCGTTGATCCAGACTGCTTGTTACACGCTTTGTAGGTTGGGAACTGATCTGGACCATGATGAAAACAGGAGTCCCAGTGAAGAGAGCAAATTCTATTCACAGCCAAGCTCTCGGCCACCGACTCGAAGCGGGAGCCGGCCAACTACATCAGGCTTTTTTTCTTCTCCTGCTAGTAAGTTGTCTAAATAAAATTATATTTTGTTTAAAAATCTCAAGAAAACAGGAATGCGGTGAGGTGGAATCTTGACACTCAACACTAAGTGGTTGTGTTGTTCAATTGTATTTACCAGATCTTGCATGTGTCTGGTTTGCAATGTTTTGATTTCCTGATTGTTGACTAGTAAAACTGGTCAGGGTATTCATGAAGGCTTTAACAATAATAATAATCCTTGCATTTGATATATTGCCTTATCACGTCGTTGAGATGTCTGAAAGCTCTTCATAGAATATACTATAAAGTGCATTGACTGTATTTTGTGGGTGAAACGCGGCAGCCAATTGCGCATAGCAGTGTCCCACAAACTTGTGGGTCGAGTGACCAAATTATTATTAGTTTTTTTTAACAATATGTTGCACAGTGTTATTGCATGGTAACATAGATTTACACACATTGTGATAAAGAACCTTAGTGATTGTACGCTGTGACATTGAACTGAAATGGAACTCAGTTTGACTCCTTTGCTTTCTTTCAGTAACATCTCCACTAACATCAAAATTCTGATTTTGTTTAAACAAGATAAATATCTAAAACTGATTAGTAGATTTATATCTTTAAAGCGAGGAATTACTGAGGGAGTGTTGCAAAAATACTCTACAATGGACCTAATCATTGTTGACTGAATATTATGCAAAACAGTTGTTATCAGCATGAAAGTGAAATTCCTGCATCCCAATGGATGTGGTTCACTGATTGATCAAGTCATTCCCATATAAAGCAGTAGCCTTACTGTGTGAAGTTTAGCTTTGTGCAGTTTGGGGATAGAACAGTTCCATTTAGTTTCAAAGTAACATGTTTCCACCACAGGGGTAGTTGCTTTGTTATTTCTGCATCGCCTCAGCCACATGCGCATTCTTCATGTGTGATCCAAGAAGGTAGATGTTGGTCGGCTATTCAGCCGTGGAGATATTAAAGCCAAGTCCACTCGCTAAGTGCACACTACGTTTCCAGCAACGGTCACTAAGTTGCAATTGGGAGTAGAAACCCTGGTCACTTTTCCCCTCCGAGCTACCTGCAATGCCCAAGTGAGACTGGCTAACTCGCAACAGGGCAGAGATGGAGGCTGGACCTATTGGGCCTCTATGGTTTTGTCCACGCACTTAGCTGGCTTGCATTTTTGTATTTGATGCGTTTTTTTAAAAAAAAGTTTGCAATGGATGAAATTTCAAGCTTCGAAATAAAACTCCCAGCTAATTACTCGTTGATATTATACAAAATAAGTTCTACAACCGAAGCTCATTTCAATAGAAAACTGAGTCACTTGATAGGTATACTTATTCCTATGCATTCAACAACAACTTGCATTTATATAGTGCCCTATGGCGTCTCCAAGTGCTTTTTTTAAAAAATCATGTTCAAAGTAATTGGTGCATAAATCTAGCTCCTTGTACCTATTTTACAATTCAGTTGGCATTGTTGATCACTTAACTTCAGATGCTAGATAAATTGTGGTTTCTCCTTGTGTCTTACTAAAGTTGAAGAGAAACTTCACTCAATAGAACACCCAGGAATCACAAGAGAATTCCTATTCCAGAATTAGGTTTTGTATAGTGTACGTCGCCTTATTAAGAATATAACTCCAGGAGAGAGTGGGAAAAGACCTTTCACCTACCTATCCAGTCTATTCCTCTCACACATCAATGTGCACTGCCAAGAAACTCTACCCAAGCCTATGCAATCTCTATGAGTGAAGATCAGACAAGATCTTCAAGAAGATGTAGCTTTTCCAATCCCCCCACCCCACCACTAAGATATTTTAGCAAAATCTATTCATTGCTATTGTGTATCCTGGAGTATTTGGTCATTCATTATCTGTAATCATTTACTGCTCTTCTTTGAACCCACTCCAATGCATCGATATCCTCTTGAAGGCAGTGTGGACAAAATTGCCAAGAGTATTTTCTGGGACTAAAAGTCTGCATTCGGATTTGCAATGTAATCGTTGGTTGTTCTTTTTGAAATGCTCTGACGGATTTCTTTCTGCAGCTCTCGATAAAAGTACCTCCCTGTTGGGCTCCCCACTTCTTGGGATTGATCAGCAGCTTCCAACACCCACCGATTTGTTTGCAAACAGTTCGCCCGAAAGGTGTTTTGAACAAACAAACAGGCAACCTGTCAGGTAAACAGACAGGGCGAATATTATAAACACAAAAACAACACTTGTATAGCATCTTAGAGTGTTTATCAATGGCAGAGCTAGATGCCGAATCGGAGAGAGGTGTGGTTATTACTGGTTGAAGAGAAGATCTTCAGGTGTGATCTGAAGATGGACAAGGAGGGTGTCAAGGCGGAGGGCTTGAGACAAGAGTGTTCGAGAGTTTCAGGGCGTAGCGGTTGAAAGCATGGCCATTGATGTTGGAGCGGAGGGGATGAGGAACATGCAGGAGGCCCACCTTTTATTGTATGCAGAGGTTTTTGTGTATTTTTTTATCTCCTCTCCGAAGTAACTATTCTCCCATTGTATTCGGTTCTTTCATTCAGATGTTTAGGGGTACTGTTTACATGTTGTTCCACATCACAAATGTGTTGGTTTGTGAGTGAACAGTGGCTAGATATCTAATGCCATCCACTGTTTTCTGCTATATATACAGGCGACATGATTACATGACGGCGTTCAGCAGCAGACCCAGGATCCCTAGGACTCCAGAATTAATCACAAGTCCTCGAAAGATCAAGTCGTCAACCATCGCACCTCAGTTCTCTCAGTCTGGCCCCCAGCAGACCACTCGCCCCAACTCAGCTGGGTCCTCCAACAGGAGCAGACACAGTGAGTAACACAAGCCAGGAATATTAGCTTTCAAATACACACTCTCTACAGTAAATTCTGGCAAGGGCTTTGAGAAGTTCTTCTGGTGCTACATAATCTGTAAGGATTATTTTAGGGGATTCACTCCAACAGTTATAGAACTGGAACATCTTCCCCCAAGTCTCTTGTCTCATTATCAACATCTATTCCCATTGTTCGGATTGATTTTCATACATTCTGAATTCTGTGCTTTCTTAGCAATGACGTCCATTCTCTCTGTGAATTATTGACCTTCCTCCACTGTTTATTTCTGCTCTTTTCTACTGCATTGCAGTGACAGCCTAGACCAGGGTGGTCCAACCTTTGGGAGCTGTATCTGTGTGTGTGTGTGTCTGTATTTTTTTCTCTCTCTCTATCTGTATCTGTCTCACTAATGTTACTGGTTTGAAAGTGATTGATAGGATTCTGCTGCTAATGTTGCGCCGCTGTTTTTCCCGCCGAGACAGACCAAGCCTGGGCAGCTGCATTGGCAGGCCAAATTAAATCATCCCCTGGGCCGGATGCGGCTTGTGGGCCACCAGTTGGACCACCCTATCAGCTCAAAGTCTCATAGTTGACTTGAACATACAACCTGCAGAATCAGGAGTGAGAGACGTTGCTACCGACTGAGCCAGGCTATGACTGCCCTTACAGGACAGGGCACATTTTTCAGTGACATTTCCTGCTGGTTTAGCAGAGTGGAATACTACAATACCTGCCAAAAACCTCAGTATTGTTATAAAGTTTGTTGTTGTGCAAAGTTAACCTCCTTCCCCATTCTTTTATCATAATAATTGCAAAAAACAAACACTGAAACGATGAGACATTCAGAACTCTTGGTCTAACCTGTTGGCTTCAGATTATTTTATCCTCTTCAGTGGAAGTGCCTGAGATTTTTAAATGATAATAATCCTTGCATTTGTGAAGTGCTTTGAGGCGTTGTTTTGTCCGAAAGGCACTGCTTGAAGCAAGATGTTGTGTACTAATCAGAGTTAAGATGTTTTATAATAAACTCAATCTGTCTGTTCATCTCAGAACTCCGTTCTTTGATAAAGCACCAGAGAATTTCTGCCCTAGAAGTTTGGAAAAGTAATAATAATAATCTTTGCATTATAGCGCCTTATCATGTTGTTGAGATACCTCAAAGCGCACAGCAGTGTACCACAAACAGTCGTGGATTGAGTGCTACTAACTGCTAGGTAAACAGGCATGTGGAGCAAGGAAAATTTCCTAATGTTTCGCCCTGCCAGGGAATCAAAACAGAATACTCTTGCTTGCGAGGCGAGTGCTCTCACCACTAAGCTACAGGACTACTACAACAACAACAAAATTACATTTGTAAAGCGCCTTTCACATCGGGAGGACGTCCCAAGGCACTGGACAGACAGAATTATGGACCCAAGCTGGAATTGGGGTGGGGGAGGGTGGAGGGCAGGACCCTCGAAAGCACGGTCGACGAGGAGGGTCTTGAGATGGGTCTTGAAGGTGGCGAGGGAGGGGGTAAAACGGAGGGACTGCAGGTTGGAGTTCCAGAGGGTGGTTGCAGAGTGGCGGGAGGCCCACCCACCAATAGTGGGGCAAGCAAGGGGGAGGGACATGAAGCAGGCCGGAGCCCACTGAGTGGAGGGAGCGAACAGGATGATAGGGGGTTAGGAGATCGGAGAGAGCTTTGAAGATGAGGATCCTCTGTGTGATGGAAAGCCAGTGAGTTGGGCAAGGATGGGGGTGATAGGGTCATGGAGCCTAGTGCAGGAGAGGACATCGGCTGCAGAGTTGTGGTTAATCTGCAGCCTGTGGAGTGAGCAGTTGGGGAGGCCGACAAGCAGTGAGTTTCCATAGTCGAGCCTCGATGTAATGAAGGCATGCAGGAGGATTTGAGCGGCCAGCACTATTTGCTGTTACGTAAACACCTGATTACCCAAGCTTGATTTAACTTGTCACTGCCACTTAAGTCTTTATGTATTTATTTTGCCGATAAAATTATATATTCAGTTCACTTTACACTACATTCCGTCAAGCACTTTGAGATGTCTCGAAGATGTGATAAGATGCTATATCAAATGCAAGGATTATACAGAAGGCTAACTCACCGCTCAGGATAAAGCGTTACTGAGCCCTTTTCCCCTTGGAGTGATGAATTATTAAAAAATTACTGCGTTTGTCAGAATGCCTGGCAAATCCGAGTCCTGCCTGGAATCACTGCACAAAATGCACTCGCATCTTCTTGTGATGATGGAGGAGAGTTTACTGAGGTTTACGGAGGGTCAGACTCCACCACTGTCAAGCTCCGGGACGCTACCCCACGTGAAGGGTGCCATATAAATGCAAGTTGTTGTTTTGTGGTGTCTTATACACTTAGGTGTTCACCAAAGAATTTATAGCTGGGAGAAGTGAGCTATATTCCATTCATGACTAATGTTATTTCCTCCCCCCGCTTTCCCCCTGCAATTTCCTCCTCTCCTGCTCTGAAAGCACTAGATTGTGCTTGACTGGTCCGATAATCCACCTGACTTCCAGTATCTCGCCACAAAAATTCTGTTCTTCTTTGATGTTAATCCCCTGCTTGACTGGCTCTGGCCTCCTGTATGTCCGTCTCTCCATTCCACCATCGGTGGCAGCCCTTTCAGCCACTGCGCTCCGAAACTCTGGAACACTTTACCTCTGTCTCTCCACCTTGCCCCTTCCTTACCCATCTTCAGATTGCGCCTGAAAACCTTCCTATTCGACCGTCCCTAAGATCAGCCCCCACACCCTCCATCTCAGCTTTGTGCACGATATCAAATGCAAGGATTATTATTATTCTGTGAAGCGTCTTGAGACGTCTCAAAGTCGTAAAATTTGAAGACAATAGTCTTAATAATAAATAATAATCCTTGCATTTCACTTAGCGTCTTATCACATCGTCAAAGCGTCTCAAGGGGCTTCACAGAATGTACTGTAACATTTCGGTCCAAAAAATATAATCACTTTTACACTATATTCTGTGGAGTGCTTTGAGATGTCTCGAAAACCCAAAAAGCTGCTATATCAAATGCAAGGATTATTATGATGAGTATCTAAAGAGGAACAAATGCAGCATTTGTCTTTTTGGTTTCGATATTCGTATGTCTTTTTTCAGAAGAAAAAGCTTGTTCCAAAAAGTTTGCTGACATAAACCTACAGAGGGGGCTTGAAGCACAGGAAGCTATAGTTTCAATCAAATTTACAGGGCGAAAGATGTTAAAGCAAAGATAACATGTTAGTTAGTATACATTCCTCACTCTCTTCCTTCACCCAGTTTCCTCCTACACAAGCACTTTCTTTCTCTGACCAAAATCCATAGTGATCGAATGGACTTTGGACAATTCTGTGTCTAATTTCAACTTATTTGTACTCCTTGTAGGCAACCAGTCATATAGGAAGTGACAACAGACCTTTCCTCAGGAATCACCTGTTGCAACATTGAAACATTATTAGTGTCCTGTCATGCATATCTCAGAAGATTGGACATGAGACAATAAAAGGATTATCCATTCATACATAGCAAGTCCTTCTCGTTTTACAGGAACTATGACAGATTTTCCGCCCGCAATGTAAATAAGAATAATTTATACCTTTTGTTCTTTGTTGCACTGTGATGTTTTTAAACGTCAATATTCTGCTTTTTTTTGTAGGTGATATTTCTTCATAGCTGAGTTTTACTCCTCACTACTGTGTGTGAATGGTAGTAAAACGTGAAGCGGGTTTCATTTTGTTTTCTCTCTGGCGGCTGAGATCATGTATTTACTGTATGTTTGTGCAAATCATTGATGTTAACGCAAATAAAACCTGACCTGTGATTTATTTTCTTCGTAAAATATTCCTCAAAGTACACTGTTAGCCATTTGAATGGATCCGAGCTCCTGGGGCTCCACAGAGTGATTTCTTCTGACCCATCTGCAAAGTCCAGGATCGAGCAGTGAGGTGGATTTGTGGTAAACACGAGAAGAGGTTGCAGGGAGGGAGGGCTCCGGCCTACACTGTGCTATCGTTAAGCACCCTGGAGCGGAGGTGGCTTCACAGCTGGTACGTCTATTTGCCAAGGTTCCTTGCACAAGGACCCGGATTGAGCAGCTGGTGCTGAGTAAACCTGGTACCATTTGATTCAATAGCTTCACAAGATCACAGAGTGCATTGGATGTGTGTGTATATATATATATAAAAAATCCCATCCTTTCAGAATTTCCATCCTCCCGCATTCCCATTGCAGCTTTTTATGGAGTCTAAAAGCCCTTGTTCATGAACTGAATTCCTTGCGTTATTTGCAAATTTACAGGCGTTCTCTGTATCTACCGTATCAAATCCCTTTAGCATTTTACACACCACATGGAGCTCGTTGCCTAAAGTTGTGTTTGAAGCAGAAGTATAACTACATTTAAAAGGAAGTGAGATAGACATATGAGAGAGAGGAGTGGGTTGGGTTGGAATTAGAAGCGTATGGGAGGGATGGGTGGAGGTTTGCATGTACCATAAACTCTGGGTGACGAGTTGGGCCAAAAGACGTGTTTCCCTGCTGTTCGATTTATGTTGATGGGCGTTGGATCACTATTTGGTAAAGGAATCAACTGAGTGATGTAAACAGTGGAGTCGTGTTGGATTATTTTATAAACAATTATCTTGGAGAGCAGATGAAGCACAAAGGTCTCGTCTGGCCCTGTGCAATCCTATCACCTAAAATAATTTTTGGAATTGATATAGTGCCTTATCATGTTGTCGATACATCTTTTGTGTGAAGTGTAGTGACTGTGTATTTGTAGGCAGATGTGGCATCCCAATAAATTGGCACACACCAATGTGGCCATGAATTGAACAACTAAGAGGAGGGATTTCTCACTCCCGGTTTCCTGGCCAACAGTCCCCCAGGCAAGAGAATTACAAAAACCTCCCTCTTTTCGAACAGTGCGATGGAATTTTTAAAATCCACCAGCAAAGGCAAACAGGACTTTGATTTAATAAATGTCTCATCCGAAGGACGGCACCTCCAATTCAGAAAGAAGATTCATCTTTGGCCCAGCACTGGAACAATATAAGGAAACTGGTTGCTGGTGGCCATATTAATTCAAACATTGTCTGCAGCTTCCTGCTGCCCTATCCCAACACAGCTGTTGTCATTAAATTTCAGACCAGTGAAACAATTTGACACGCTAGCTATTGAGTGGTAACACTGATCTAAAGCGATAACATCTCGTGACCGGTAAATGAGAAAGTGGAATGCATTGTTGCAGAAGACCACAACTTGGTGGGTAGAGGACTTGGGAAGCAAAAGTTACGAAGGGAAACCGAGATAGGACAGAGAAATAAGATAAGAACAATTATAGAGCTTATAGCGCACAGCAGTATCCCGCAAACAGTCGTGGATTGAGTGACCAATTTTTTTAAAAGGGATCATTATCCATGGAATAGCACTCCGGAAACCCAGAACTGAAGGATATCAAAGGCTGTACCACAAAAGATCCCATCTGTTCCTTTGAACTGGGGAGAATGATTTTTTAAAAAATCTCTTGTTGGCTCTGAGAATATTGTAAAGGAAGTAAGCGAGAGGACCTGGGTTCAATTACCGGACCTTAGGCAAATTGGCTTACTCTACAAGCCTCTCTTTACCAAGCAGTAAGTAAGAATCCGGTTCTTAGTCAATTGGTGGATCGCTTTCTGGGGGTAATAATCCCTCCCAAAAAAATCTGGTTGCTCATTCCACGATGGCTTGTGGGACACTGCTATGTGCAACTGTCTGTGCATTTCACCCACAACATACACAATTCACGTTTACAAGCGCTGTGAAGCACTTTGAGACGTCTCAACGACATGATCATTCAACGACATGATCGTTATATCAAATGCAAGGATAATTATTACTTTTATTATTTCCGTTCTCAACGTAACACGGGTTAGTAACATTTGAGGACATGAATTGCTAATTGCAAACATTCAGTGGCTCCTCTGTTCAGCACGTGCAGCAGGCAGTACAAACAGGAACTTGGAGCAGTGAGATAAACAGCAGGATACAGACTGTTCTATAAAGGACAAGTGGAATGTTAAGGGAAAGGTCGATCAGAAACAAAGTGGATGGAAACAAATTTTCCCGACCCCCCCCTCACATGTGACAATTTTTTTGTTGTTGTTCTCAGCCGGGTGTCTGACACACGTGGAAACCCATCGCCATGCTTAAGAGTATCCAAACCAAACAGAGAATTCCATGTTTACGTGTACTACCACCAATGCAGTTTACTGCATTCGCTGCTCACGATGTGAGCAAATCCGCAAACCAACACAATCACCAATTGCATTCATTTATTCATTTATTTACTGATTTACTTTTTTACTTATTTATTGATGTCTTTCGTGTCGGGAGTACGTCTCGAGGACACTTCCAACTTGATCGGAGAGTAAGCCTGATGGATTTTGTGCTCTTCAACCTTCAAGTGATCTTGAGATGAGTTGCAGTTAAACAAGTTTAGCAACATCATTTCAACATGTAACCTTCCAGTCCAGTACTGCTTTTACTCAGTGCTCGGATCCAAATCCCTGACTGTCCAGCGCCTTGGGATGGTCCCAACATGAAATGCATTGTTTAAATGAAATTTTTTGTTGTTTTTGTTGCTATCTGACAGAGGATGGCATTGCTAAATACACAATATTAATCCTTGCTTTTGCTGTCCAAAACATCTCGGAGTACTTCCCATTTAATTAATTGCTGTCAAATGGAATGCCTGTATGTTATCTGAAGGCGGGCAAACCTAGCAGCTAATCTTTCCCTACGCCGAGTTCCTGCCAACAGCCACTACCAAATGTTTTGGCGGATTGCCAGCCAGGATGCCGGGAGAAACTCCTCGCTCTTTTCCAGTAGTGCAACGGGATCTTTAACATCCACCTGAACAGGAAACAACATGGGAAGAAAAAAATCGGGCATTCTTTTTGTCCAGTCTCCATCTAATTATTCAGAACACTTCAAGGGTTTGCTTTATTGGTTTTATTGCTTTGTAAAATGGTTAAGGAGAAAGGTTAAGGATTGCAACATAGCTATCAAAGCACTCTGGGGCTCTCAGTCTTCTAGCACTGCCATCTACGGAATGCAATTTGATATGGTTGAATAATGTAGTAGATTGTGAAGACTGACTGATATCCTGGAATATTTAATGAAGGGACCAGGAAACAATTTTCAATTGTTTTCTTGGATGCTTTTCTGTTTTGGAGAATCGATGTGCATTCAAAGATTGAACTGCTTTACTGGAAGTGTCAGACTTAAATGGCCTTTTCTCATTTTCAAACACAGGAAGTTTATTTCTCTCTCTCCCCCAGGGGAGGTCTTGGGAATTAGTCAATCTAAGGCAAAATTCCTTGGCCTTAAGAGTAAGTAGCCTTTTAAAATTCAGTCACACGCAGAATCTCACAGGTTCGAAATTTAAGGTGAGAGCGGCATGCATCGGTTCTTAGCAAAAACGCAACCTGAAAGCTAGAATATAGGTGCAAACTGATCAAGCTTAAGGAACATAAGGCTTTGTTTGGCACTGCTCTGGTGAGAATGGAGAGGATTCCACTTCATGGCTGTTTGCCGGACATCACCGTGACACAAGATTGGCCATTTTTTTTCACCTGCCAAATTGTGCACATTCACTACAGTCCACGGTAAATCCTGTGAAGAACTTTGAGAACGTCCTCCCGACGTGAAAGGCGCTGTATCAAAATGCCAAGGCTTATTGTTGTTATTATAAATAGTCTCTTTCCTAATTTGGAGACACTAATTCCAATTATCCTATCCTCCTGCCCCCCCACTCTCTCCCCTATTCCCCAATCATAAATCCTGCTGGGAGAAGGTAACATGGCAACACATCAGTGATGAACCTCTGGGATTTCTCTAGTCATAGTGACACTATCTGAGCCCCAAACATAACAAAGAACTTCTTCTCTTCGAAACTCCGCCTGGTTATCTGGTTTAGAAAATGTACTTCAATCGTAATGGATTACACAAAACAAATGCAACTTCTAGGAAATATAAGGGAGTGTGCGCAGAGGATGGGGTGGGGAGATAGTGTGAGTGGGTGTCTATCTGCAAGAGAACAATCAATATAGAGTATTCCCCTGAGGTGAAGGAGAGAGACACAAGGATTGCTCCTGGAGCCAGTAATTGGAGCTTCATTGACTTTGAGCCACACACACAGAGAGAGAGAGAGAGAGAGAGAGAACACACTATCACCACACACCACACACTGAGGACCTGCTTCTGCTCTGGACACTACAGCACTTTGCAAACTGCAATACTCCTGGTTCAGATCTTTTGCCTTCTCTTCACTCCGTGTGGTTTGCAAAAAAAGTTAAAAGGAAATCCTGGATTCCTCTTGTTTTATACGTAAGTAAGTGAATCACTTTTTCTCTTCCCCCTTAAGGACGTGGACAGAAATATCCACATCATCCGCACTGTATATGTATATAACGACAGAGAGATTATCTGTTTTGTGTGCAATGGATGTATCTGTGAGATCCAGAGTCACGATGCTGGTGATCTTTTTATTCCCCCAACAAAGTATTCTTTCTTTGAACGAAATGAAATCGAAGCTCCTCCAAATGTAACGTTACTCGTTCGTTTCAACCCAGAACTGTTGCCTGTGCAGAGGAGGTTTGCAGAGTTTTCTTTCTCTCAATCCGGTGAGATAAGGAAAGAAATCCAACCCCCCCCCCTCACCCCCAAAAAATGTGTAATAAAGCCACTTATTTAAGAGGTCTGAAAATAAAAAGACTTTCCATTTTAAGTCGACCCCAGTGTTTAGGCAGTGACTGATTCAACGTTCTCTCTGTAGCTCTGGGGCAAAGCAGAGAAGTTTTGCATCACTGGTCAGTAGAGAAGTTTCTGTCCCTAACTTTGTGTGCTTGTGTTGGCTTGAGGCGTTCAAAACTTGTCCCCTTGTGTGTCCCCTTGTGCAAGTTACCCCCCCCCACCCCCCCTCCAAAGGGTGGTGGTGGTGGTGGTGGTGGGAGGGGGGCATTTTAAGCACAATTTATATCCTAGAAAAATGCTGTTGCTCAAAATTTTCCAAACTCCACATTACAGGCAACAATGAAAGAACCCCCGCACATGTGAGATTTCAAATAATTTGGTATTTTGCCCCCAAAATACGCAGTCAATCCCCTTTACGGTATATTCCGTGAAGCGCTTTGAGATGTCTCAGTGAGATGGTGAGGCGCTGTATCAAATGCGAGGATTATTATTAATATATGATGTCTCAAAGGGCTTCACAGCATTTATTGTCTGCAAGATAAAGGCCTTTTTATCCCCAATAAAGTATTCTTTCTTTGCATGAAAATAAATCGAAACTACGGCAAATGCAACGTAGCTTCTTGTACGTTGAAGGTGTGTTGTGTGGGCGAAACCCAGGAACTGATTTGCGCAAAGCAATGCCCCATCGAGAGAATAACTAATATTAATCTGGGTAGATTGTCGGCCAGGACACCAGGAGAGAGAAACCCCCCCCCTTCTCTTTTTGAGGAGGGGGAAAACAATGCTCTGAGATGCTACCCCGCGTGAAGGGCACTAAATAAATGCAACTTGTTGTTGTTGTTCAGTAGCGCTGTGAGATCTTTAACCATCTGAATAGACATATAATGGTCCCACCTGAATGCAAATGGTTTTCCCACATCCTGTAAGTTTCTAATGTTCCTCCCTTGCTCTACCCCTGACTCCCTTTGCTCGGCGTCTATATTTGTGAAGCTCTCTGTTACGTTACTCTTACCTCTTTGCTACGGTGTGAATTACACATTCCTTTCAGCGCGCTCTAAGTCACAATCCTTCACTTCTCTTTCTGTCGGGGATACAAACCCGGTCAGAGAGATCTCAAGAACTATCCACAACACATTTATTTATCTTAAACCATTCTTATTGATTTGACAAGTAGAACCAGAGGGGAGACGAGGAATTGCTTACCCAGAGAATTGCTGCGGTGTCTGAAAGGCTGGTGGAAGCAGATTTGATGGTAGTTTTCAAAAGGGAATTGGATAGGTATTTGAAAATGAAGAATTTGCAGGGCTGTGGGGTAAGAGCGGGGGAGTGGGACTAGTTGGGTAGCACTTCAAAGAGATGGCACAGGTATGATGGGCTGAATGGCCTGCTTCTGCGCTGTAAGGTTCTATAATTACCCTAAGTAACCTACAAACAGAATTTCTGAAATTTGGAAAAATAAAAATACTTTAGCGCACAGACAATCTAATACTTTAATAACTGCCGAGCTTGTAAGAACTTTAACACAACATGAACCTCTTTTTAACAGAGCTTGCTTGGGAGGCACTAACTGTCAATCAGTTATCCCCAACTCAATATCTCCCCAGGTGCCCCAAACCTCTCCCACGTTCTCTATCCTTGATTCCTAACTTGTTCTTTTTTCCTCGGACTGCCCCCGTGTCATTCTGATTGGGACTTCTGTCCTTGTTTCATTTGTTTATCTCGCTATTTATCCCTTGTCAATGTTTCTTAATTGACAGGTTAGTCACAATTCCTGCAATTGTCAACGCAAATTCCTCAGTGAAAAACACCCATTCACAAATTCCTCAGTGAAAAACACCCTCCCAGCCATTATCTGCTTCATATCTGAGCAGCAACTCAGGCAGATTTAGCGCAGTGACTCCTAGTGGCTCCCCACTGGATGGAGGGCACAGAGCAGGAAGCAACCAGCAGAAAAGTTACCCTGAGAGGGATGTGTGGCTTTCCACACTTTACACACCGGTTTGCTCACATGGTCCAGCTTGCAGCAGCCTAGTTTTGCACAGCAATGTCCCACAAACAGCCATAGAGTGAGCGACCAATTTTATTTGGGGGATTGTTGGCCAGGACACTGGGAGAGAGAAACTCCCTTCTCATTTCGAATAGCTCCGCGGGATCTTTAATGTGCAGATGAGACCTTGGTTTTGACATCGCATCTGAAGGATGGCACCTCCGACAATGCAGCCCCCCCAGCGCTGCACTGGAGTGTCAGTTCAGACAATGTGATTCCAAATCCCGATGTGAGGCTTGAACCCACAATGTTCTGATTCAGAGGTGAGAGCGCTACCACAAAGCAAGGCTGGTAGTAGCGCTCTCACATCTATTTTGACATTGCCTCATACAATGTCAGAATGAAGGCAAAACAGCTCAAGACTGTTTACAGCAATTTCTATGCCTTGCAGTGGCTAATTTTAGACAAATACGCCAACCGAGTTTCAGTCTACACGTACTGATTGCCCCCAGACAGTGGTCATTGTTCGTTGCCTTTAAATAGACCTGTGTGTTGGAATTATGCTGGGTTCATTTATGCTGCGCAAGCAACATAAACTAACAGGGCGAAACCTTAGGCAAATTTCCTTACTCCACACACCTAATAGTTATCCTTCAAGAAAAAAAATAAAATAACAATTTGGTGACTCAATCCATGACTGTTTGTGGGACGCTGCTGTGTACAATTAGCTTCCACGTTTCGCCCACAAAATATGCAATCAATTCACTTTACAGTGTATTGAGTGAAGCGCTTTGAGAGCCTAGAAGACATGAAAATATTAAATGCAAAGATTATTATTATAACCATAATCACTGCTCACCTGAACAGGCAAACGGACCTTGGTTTAACATCTTTACCCCCTCCCTAATCCACCCACCCATCAGCACTGCATTGGAGTTTCAGACCAGACTACTGTGGACGAGTTTAAAATCCCACCGTGTTCTCTTGAATCCTCAACCTCGTGTTGCAAGCGAGTAGACCTGGGTTCAATTCCCTGGCCGTGCGAAACATTGTGCAAGTTTCTTTACTCTACACACCTCGGTTTACCTAGCAGTAAGTAGGAACCCGGTTGTTAGTTGATTGGCGGATCGCTTTCCCTTCAAATTTTGTTTAAAAATGTATTAAAAATTTGATCACTTAATCCACGATTGTTTGCGGGACACTGCTGTGTGCGAATGGATGCTGCGTTTCGCCCACAAAATATACCAGTCAAATCACTTTACAATATATTCTGTGAAGCGCTTTGAGACTTCACGAAGATGCGATAAGACGCTATATCAACAACAACTTCCACTTGCAGAGTTGGGCAATGTTGTGGAGGTGGGGAAAGGCAGAGCGGGTCATGGCATGGATATGGAGGAGAAACAACATTTGAGGGTTGAATAAGGCTACCAGGATCCTGACTGGCTTCGTGAATGGATTGTGCAACCATGGTGCTAATGCTGCCAGTGTCTGAGGTGCAGAGATGCTGGCGTGAACCAATCAGGAGGGCCTCGGTCTGGCTGACATACAGCTGTAGAAAGTTGTCTCTCATCCAAGACTTGATGTCAGACAGAGAATCTGTCACAAAATCAGTTGTCCTGGAATCGAAGATGGAGCCTGAGAGATAAAGTTGGGTGTCATCCGCGTACATGTGGAAGTTGACCCCATGTCTGCGAATGATGTCACCAAGAGGGAGCATGTAGAGGGTGAAGAAAAGGGAGGACCGAGGACAGCGCCCTGAGGATAAACAACTTTAACTTTTTAAGATGCACTGTTGCGGAAGTTCAAACTAACCCAACAGGATTCCATTATATTTAGATTCCAGTGACGTGAGTGCCTCGGAACACTGCAGCTTTCTCAAGGGTAAATTAACATCATAATCCCTGCATTTGATATAGCGCTTTCCACGTCTTCTAGATGTCTCAAAGCACTTCACAGAATATACTGTGAAGTGAATTGACTGTATATTGTGTGGACATTAAAAAGCTTTCAATGTCTGGTAGCCAGAGGACACAGATTTAACATAAGAACACAAAAAATGCTTGACGAAAAAAGACCAAGGTCCATCTAGTTTGCCTTCCATGGTTGTATGCACATATGTCCCGAACTATATGGGTAGTTGTCAAAAGAACCAGAGGAGAGATGAGGAGAACTTTTTTCACACAAAGAATTGTTCAGATCTAGAATGCATTGCCTGAAAGGGTGCTGAAAGCAGATTCAATAACAACTTTCAGGAGAGAAGTGGATAGATGTTTGGGGCTATGGGGAGAGCGGGGGGCTGGGATTAATTTGGACAGCTCTATCAAAGAGCCGGCATGGGCATGATGGGCTGAATGGCCTCCTTCTGTGGCTGTATAATTCTGTGATTCTATGTAGTCACATAGATAACCAGGGGCATATTATTCTTTGGGGATGGCAAATCGTTTATTTGATCTAATCTAAAAGATTCTATGCTCTAAATATATAGATTTTTACATGCATTTTGTGTACTGTGCAACAACAACTTACACTTATATAACACAGGATAGGGTTTCGGGGCGCATAATAGTGGCGGAGCCTGACTCCGAGCTGGTGGTGGGGCGTGTGTTGGGGTGGGGGAGGTGGCCATAAGCACAGTTGAAAAGGAAGGTTTGTAGGTAGGACTTGAAAAAGGAGAGGGGATTGAGGGAAAGTGCTCCAGAGTGCGAGGGACGAGCAAGAGACTGGTGCCAGTAGAGCAGAGGCGCCAGGTGGTGGATTGGGGAGTGAGGAGATTGGAGAGGTCGGGAGGTGCCAGGGAGTGAATGGATTTGAACACGAGAGTGAGGATCTTGAAGTCAATCTGTTCGGTGATGAGGAGCCAGTGGAGCCTGGGCCAGAACTGGTGAGATGTGGGTATGGAGTTTGGTCCGGGTCAGTATGTGGGCGGCAGAGTTCTGAACGAGTTGGATTTTTTGATTGGTGGAGCTGGGAAGACTGGTGAGGAGAGTTTTTGAGTAATCCAAGCGGGAGGTGACAAACACATGCACGAGGGTTTCGGCTGCATTTGGGGTAAGGTACGGTCGGAGGCGGGCAATGTGTCGGAGGTGGAAGAAGGTGGCCCTGGTCAGGGACTGGATGTGGAGGAGGAAGAACAACTGGGGGTTGAATCGGATGTCTAGGTTGCGCACTGGTTCGGTGAGTCTGAGGGAGAACCCAGAGGTTGAGGAGTTCAGATCCGCAGGAGTGAAAACATGGACGGGAGCCAAGGAGTATGGCTTCCGTCTTGTCCTCATTGAGCTGCAGGAAGTTTGCACTCATCCAGGCCCTGATGTCTGCCAGACAAGCTGATAGAACATCGGCGGACGTGGAGTCAATGCTGGAGGAGGCAAAGTAGATTTGTGTGTCACCCGCATACATGTGGAAGTTTATCCTGTGTCTGCAGATGACATCGCCAAGCAGGAGCATGTAGATAAGGAAAAAGAAAGAGCCAAGGATGGAGCACTGGGGTACCCTGCAGGTGATCGGGCATGGGGCGGGAGGAGAAGCCAGTTGCTGAGATGAAGTGGAGGCGGTTGGTTAAGTAGGACTCGAATCATGCGAGTGCGGTCCCACTGAGGTAGATGAGGGAGGAGAGGCGGTGGAGGAGGATGCGTGGTCGACTGTGTCGAAGACGGCAGAGAGATCTATGAGGAAGGAGGCTGAGGGTTGCAAATATTATTGTTGTAACTTTTGTTATTCAGGGGCAAGAGAGAGAGACAGAGAGAGAGAGAGAGAGAGAGAGAATGTAGCTCAAAGGCAAGCGAGAGACCTGGGTTTGATTCCTGGCAGGACAAAACCTTGGGCAAGTTTCCTTACTCCACACGGCTGATAATAATCCCTCAAGAAAAATACCCAATAATAAATTGGTCATTTCTGTTTGTGCACGACTGTTTGTGGGACGCTGCTGTGCACAATTGGCTGCCGCGTTTCACCCGTAAGATATACAGTCAATTCACTTTACGGTGTATTCTGTGAAGCGCTTTGAGACGTCTCGAAATGCACTATATCAAATGCAAGGATTATTATTAGTATTATTATTATTAGAATGCTAGCATCTGAGCCAGGGCTGATCCGGAAGGGTCCATTCGGGCTAAATTCTTCCCATTTTTCCTGCTTGTAGGAACCGTTCAGGAGAAGATGAACATCTGGAGGAGTAGACGACTGCTCAAATTGTACTGTGCCATCTGCTGTGCGATTGTGCTGAGCCTGACAGTGTTCCATAGAAGTTACAATGTCAGCCCGGAGCCCACCGGTGCGCCAGTGCGGTTGGACAGAGCGCCGCGAGTGCAGAATCGAGGGATCTCCCAGTTCAGAGACTATGCTTTGAAGCAGGTGGTTGGCAGGAGGTCTAAAAGCCTTGGGGTAATGGTGTCAGGGAGGGATAGAGGAGGGAAAGGAGTGGCTAAACAATGGGATGTGCTGACAAACAACTGCCACCCCAACCACAACATCACTCGGGCCAACTGGTTCAATGACTTGGACGCCAAGTTCAAAGAGTACGTGTTGTACCGGCACTGCCGATATTTCCCGATGATCCTCAACCACCCGAAGAAATGCGTTGGAGATGTCTATCTCCTGATCGTGGTCAAGTCCATCATCACCCAATACCACAGGCGGGAGGTCATCAGGCAAACCTGGGGCAAGGAGATGGAGATAGACGGTAAGCGGATCAAGACCCTGTTCCTTCTCGGGACCTCGTCCAACGTCAATGAGCGATCACACTACCAGAAGCTTCTGGAATACGAGGACCGTCTGTACGGGGACATACTGCAGTGGGACTTCACTGACTCCTTCTTCAACCTGACCTTGAAGGAGGTCAACTTCCTCAAGTGGTTCTCCACCTACTGCCACAGGGTCCAGCACATCTTCAAGGGCGACGATGATGTGTTCGTCAGCACGGAGAACATTCTAGAATACCTTAAGGGGCCTGGCATTCCTAACCTCTTTGTGGGGGACACGCTGCACAAAGCCAGGCCGATCAGGAAGAAAGACAACAAGTACTACGTGCCCCTCGCCTTGTACAACAAGACCTTTTACCCGTCGTATGTGGGCGGGGCAGGCTTCGTGACCAACCAAGCCCTGGCCAGGAAACTGTACCAAGCGTCTGAGACTCTGGAACTGTACCCCATTGACGATGTGTTTCTGGGCATGTGCCTGGAGGTGCTGGGGGTGTCGCCCATTAGTCACAGCGGCTTCAAGACCTTCGGCATCGTGAGGAACAAGAACAGCAAGATGAACTCAGACCCTTGCCTCTACAAACACATGCTGGTTGTGCACAAACTGCTGACGGCTGAACTCTTAGAAATGTGGGCGGCCATTCACAGCAACCTCACCTGTTCCCTTAAATTGCCCCGCACTTTCATATAATAATAATACGTGCATTTGATATAACAACAGCAGCAGCTTGCATTTAGATCTTGCCCCCTCACATAAGGCAGCGTCCTGGAGCGCTTGACAGTGGCAGAGCACGAAGTCGAGTCGGGGGGATGGGGAGATGACCGTAGGCACAGTCGAATAATGAGTGCGACCTGAAGATGGAGAAGGAAGGGGCAAGGTGGAGGGTTAGAGGAAGAGCGTTCCCGGAGTTTCGGGGCGCAAGGAGCTGATAGCGCGATCCCCAATGGTGGAATGGAAGGCACGAGGGTCATGTCGGAGGCCCGGAGCCAGTTAAAGCGCTTCACAGAATATCCCATAAAGTGGAGTGACTATTTTGTGGGCAAAAAGATGGCAGCCAACTGCACACAGCAGTGATCCACAAACATTTGTGTGGCCTGATTGACCAAATTATATTACTTAATTTAATTTGCGTTTGGGAGTTGATATTCTGGAACACTGCCCTGTTTGAGGGACGCTTTATAAATGCAAGTTGCTGTTATTGTTAACATGATTTTGAGTTGGGTGCAATGCAAAACGCAACAACCCATGCTTGTTCTCATTTGGTAGAAGGGTGTGGGAATATATTAACACTGTATTTAATTTATACTGTTGTCAATCGCGAAATAAACTAGCGCTGTGTGATATGTTGATTATCACCTGCAAGAATTACTGGTGATAATTTTCATATCACTGATAAATGATAAATTATGACAACCAAAGATTGTTTCCCCTTCACTCCCTCCCTCTCTCCCTCCCCTTCCTCCCTACACCCTCTCCCTCCCTCCCATACCCATCCTCCCTCTCCTCCATGGTTGTGTCTAAACCCGCTGCCATTGAGCCATGCAGTCCCCGGTGCCCAGAGGCTAATTGACTGATCTCAACTGAAGTTAAGGAAGATAGAGTTAGCCTCCCCTCCAGGCCTTCCTATATCCCACCCCTCGCTCACAACACGGGCAAGGTCACCAGAGTACTTGTGGAATCTTAGCTCCCTGTCACATCACATTGCGCTCACTGGAGAGGAGGGGAGGAAATGACAGGGAAGTCTTACTTTTACAGAAAGCTCTTGCGAAATCTGCCACTCCTCAAATTGGTTTTGCTGGCATTGTCTCAATGGCACATCCTGCCAGTCTTACCGTGAAGTGCCTATTCTATTCAAAAAGTGCCCTAGAACTTCCCTACCTCCCTACCGACCTGCTCTCACACACCACTCCTCCACTCCGCTCAGCTGGCTCTGGACTGCTACACATCTCATAACATAAATAATAATCCTTGCATTTGATAGAGTGCTTTTCACGTCTTCTAGACGTCTCAAAGCGCTTCACGGAATATACTTTAAAGTGAATTGACTGTATATTTGTGGGCGAAACTTGGCAGTCGATTGCGCACAGCAGTGTCCCACGAACAACCAAGTTATTATTGTTTTTTTTCTTGAGGCATTATTATTAGGCATGTGGAGTAAGGAAACTTGCCCAAGGTTTCATCACTTGCCCACCATCGGTGGACGTGCCTTCAGCCACTTCGCCCTGAAACTATGGAACTCTCTCCTCAATCCCTCCGCCTCATCCCTTCTTTGCCCGTATTCAGATGACACCTGGAGATCCTCTTTTAACGGATAGCTCCACCCGCTTTGGCTTCAAACTATGTCACTGTTAAGCACTCTTAAGATGCAACCCCATGTGAAGGGACCTATATAAATGCAACATGTTATTGTTGTTATTAAACATAGTGTAAACAGCAAAGGGCCACCAACTGAGCCAAACTGAACACATTGGAAGCCAATTCTATGTCACTCATTTGAGGCCTAAAATTTTTAATAGAAGCAAAAGTGCTTTAAGATGTCTTGAAGACTTGATAAGGTACTATGTCAAATGCAGGGATTATTATTAGAAGTATCTCCTGACTTCAGTTCTAGCTGCTTTACTTCTAATGTTAAGGCAATGTCTGCATTTCCCTCACCCCCCCAGTTGGAAGTTCATAACGTTAGCCTTTAGACTGTTGCCTTAATGCCTCAAAATTAAAGATTGTGCAGAACTGTGGAAAACTCTGCCTTAGTCCATCTTCTAAATCAAGACCAAATGTCAGAATTTTTCTAAAACAAATTCTGCCTGATCTTAAAATTTAAAGACAATGTCTTAATAATAAATAATAATCCTTGCATTTGATATAATGCCTTATCACATCGTCGAGACGTCTCAAGGCACTTCACATAATGTACTGTAACGTTTCGTCCCACAAAATATACAGTCAATTTACTTTTACAGTATAATCTGTGGAGCACTTTGAGAAGTCTTGAAGACATGAAAAGGCGCTATATCAAATGCAAGGATTATTATTATTAAAGTGGAACGACTGTGTATTTTGTGAGTGAAACATTTGACACTGAACCTTCAAGATACCTGCTCCAAAAATATTCCATGTGTGAATTCATGAATGATGAGCTAACCTTGTTTAAAATCTCTTAAGATGCACATTTATATATTGTATATATAGTATATGACATTTTTGGTGAATGTAATTACGCTGGCAGTAGAGTTCACCCTTGCGGCACGAAACGTTTGAAAATAATATTTCTCTTTTGGGGTTTGAAGTTTTAAAAGTTGCCCTGTGGCATGTGAACGTTAGCAATTATGTTTTTTTGTAAATTAAAAACAATTGAAATTTATTGTCATGAATTGAACGCTTTTACTTGTTTCTCACGTTTGTTATTTACTTCTGGAAGAGCTTCAGGGATCTCCTCTGAAAAGAATGAAAGAGATCAGTGTCCAATTGGATAAAACTTGCAATGGCATCCAAGGGAAGCAACTGAACACACATACACTAGTTTGTGGCTTCCTGCCAATTTGGTAAATGGGACATCGTCCCTCGAGATGTGGATGCAGTTAATAGTGACTAATAATAATATAATCCTTGCATTTGATCAATCACTCACTCCATGGCTGTTTGTGGGATACTGCTGTGCGCAAAATGGATGCTGCTTTTCGCCCACATAATACACAAAATGACCTGTGAAGGGCTTTGAGTTAATAATAATAATCATAATAATAATAAACCTTGCATTTTGATTAGTGCCTTATCACATCTTCTAGACGTCTCAAACTGCTTCACAGAATATACTGTAAAGTGAAATTACTGTATATTTCGTGGGCGAAACGTGGCAATCAATTGCGCACAGCAGCGTCCCACAAACAGTTGTGGATTCAGTGACTGGTTTATCATATTTTTTGAAGGAATTATTATACAAAAAAGCAATCCACCAATCAACCAATAGCTGGGATGTCTCAACGACGTGATAAGCTGATATAAAATGCAAGAATTATTATTTTGTTTGATTACAGTTTGTTTGATACAACACCTACAAAATCTAGACGTTTCAAAGTGCCTTATAGGTCATTGCACTCAAGTATAGTGATTGGTTGTAATTTGTCAATTTGCTCAGCTGTCCTATTAACAGAGCGGCTGTGTTGTGCCTTGGAACAGAAAACAGAAATAAATCAATACAAAGAATTCAAGCCTGACCACAAGGGCTCATTGTTTGGGGCCAGTTGGTGTTTGCGTTCCGTTTGCAGTCTTTAATTGAAACCTTATGCATACATCACCTCCTGCATTCGGAAGAGACCAGCTCTGTATTTATCCAGGCAGTTTACTGCAGGGAAAGTATATTTTGTGCAGATACACATTATTGACAAAGGGCTTAATGAAACAACACTGCCACATCACAGACCTGAATGCAACCATTCCAGCTAACTCCCCCATGTTCCAAAAATTACCCAAATAACGAATATATATCATTACATGATTTACAGGAGAATAAACATTTTCTTCAAACTTTTGTTCAAGCGCTACCTCGTGTGAAAGGCACTATTTAAATGCAAGTTGTTGTTTGATTGATGTAGAGGGTTTTTGGATGGATAAAAGCACCAATTCATGCCCGCTGTAGTTTTTTTATCCACTGGCATCCAAAATCTATCAGCGAGAGGTTGGATATCACCTTCCTCATGTTAGCTGATATTGTCCCACAATGAGTGAATCTATTGTGCGACAATGACTTTTGATTTCTTTTGCTTGTTGGATGGAGGAGGGAGTGGGGGGATGGAGGAGCGGTAACCCAGTGAGACACTGTACGTTTGTACCCACTCTGAGAGTAAGAGGTATCCTTCACAATGGGGGGGGGGGGGGGAGATGCTAACGTTTAAGGAGAGGAGAGAAGGGAAAGACACATTTTATTACAATAAAATAATTCTTGCATTTGATACGGTGCAAATGTCTCTCCCATGTGCTTCACAGAGTTTTTCTGTAGAGTGTAGTGACTGTGTTTGTTGGTGAAGAATGCAGCAGCCAATTTGTACACAAAAACATGTGCTAAACACCCATGAAGCAACTGATTTTTTTAAATCAGTTTTGTCAGGCAGAACATCGCATTTTCAATAACGCAGTCAGTATCTTTAACATCTACCTGAACAGGGACAGAGGCAAACTGGGACCTCGGTTTAACGTCTCATTCAACCGACAGCACCTCAGATAATTTCTCCCCATTTGCATCATCAAAACCACTCATTTTAATGCTTCTTTTCCCAACATTTTCAGTTCTGGGTGAAAACAGCACCTTCTAGTCTCTTATCTTAATTCACAAGCAAGCAGCACTGGAATGGGAGATAACACAATGATGTTACCAGTTCCCCTCCCATTTTTGAAATGCAATGAACTCAGCTTTTGTTTGTTATGTGTCAGGGAAATGAGCCTTTGATCAGACCCAGTGAATAGAGTCAACATTACAATGCAAGGTCTGCTCTCTCGCAATGGACATTCTCTCTGACTCTCCCAGAGAATGGGGATGAGAGGTTCAAAGTGGACTCTCGTAGCGTAGTGGTTAGTGAGCTTGCCTCGCAAGCGAGCGGACCCGGGTTTGATTCCCGGGCAGGGCGAAACCTTCGTCGAGTTTTCTTACTCCACACCCCTTCTATTTCCCAAGCAGTGAAAAGGTACCTATTTGTTAGTCGATTGGCGGATCACTTTCTAAGAGTAATAATCCGCGCCCACCCCCAAAACAAAATATGGTCACTCAATCCACGGCTATTTGTGGATACTGCTGTACGCAATTGGCA